GTAGCCCCCAAAGCAAAACACAAATAAAATTTTAAAAAATTACTTAGGCAATGGGCCTCAGCGAGAGTGCCTAGTTGTAACACTTCACCATGCTGTCATAGTTCCCTGTAGAGGGAATGACACAGGTCTGTGTAGCTCACTAGGAGCAGATACTTGAAAGCTGATCCTGTTCCCCTCCAGGCTTTGCCCCATGCAATAGTTTCCTTTCAGTTTAGTAATGAGACAGTGAGTAAACCTAAACGCAGAGTCCTATGAATCCTCCCACTGAATAACAGCACTTAGGGAGTGAGCCCTGAATATCCCACTTCAACATACTAATAACGCCAGGTACAATTCCTTTTCCATTCTGTAGATGTATGAATTAAGCTGTAGGAAAGTGAAAAAAACTTGCACCAAGTCACACAGAAATAAGAGAGCAGGGAAACAAATCAGGTCTGACCCATGATCTGAGTTCCTAACTTAGACCCATGATCTGAGTTCCTAACTGCCACACTCAGATCAGCGTGTGAAACGGGTTGAAACTTCCCTTTCAAAAGATAAACAAGGAAATACCAACAATGAAGCAGAATAGGTGCTATGAGGAAAAATGAGAAGAGATAAAAGTCAGGAGGGATTCAGTGCAGAAAGGAAGAGAGGAGCAAGTTGGGTCACTGATGGTGTCCTGGAAGAAACATATGAGCAGTCTTGATGTACAGGAGACTGTCAGAGAAACATGGAGTGAAAGGAGAATAGAGGGGACATTCCAGAAAAGGGGAAAAGGGGCAAAGGAGACAGTACAGTGGGTAAAGCACTTGACTTGCATATAGCAAACCTGGGTTTGGTCCCCTGCACCACATAAAGTTTCTCAAAACCAACCACGAATGATCCCTCAGCTCAGTGCAAGGAGTAAGTTTTTTTTTTCCCTTTTTTGGATCACACCCAGTGATGCTCTGAGGTTACTCCTGGCTCTGCACTCAGGGATCACTCCTGGCTGTGTTTGGAGGACCATATGGGATGCCAGGGATCAAACCTGGGCTGCCCATATACAAGGTAAACGCCCTACCCGCTATACTATTGCTCCAGCCTCAGGAGTAAGTTCTGAGCACTACTGGGTATGGACCCCAAAACCAAAACAAATGAACAAACAAAAAACAAAGAAGAGAAATGGCATATAGGAACATTTGTAAAAGGAAGGAATGTATTTAATTCCAGAAAGTTAAGTAAGTTCAAGATGGCTAGAGTACAAGAGTGTAGGAAACTATAGTGAGATGAGAAGCTGGATGGATAAGCTGGGATAAGACCATAAGAGCTGAACATCATACTATAAAAATAAACTTGTATTCCACCCTGAAGAAGATGTGGAGCCACTGAGGCAGTTTAAAAACTGAAGAAGAAATATGAACACATCTGTTTAGGGGGCAACTGGAAGCAGGGAGCCCTGCCAGATTACTATCCTGGTCCAAGAGACAAAGACTAAAACAAAATGGAAATAAATAATAGTAAATGGGGTACAGAGGGCAAGTTTGAGACATTTAGGAGCTGGAAGTCAAAAATACTTGGTGACAAACTAGATATAAGTGTAGGAAAAAGTGAGAAAATATATACAAGGTTTCTCAGAGGTACACATCTGAAAAGAAAGCCCATGAATTCAGTTTTGTATATTTCAAAATTTGAGTTGTCGGGTAAAGACATCTGGTTAGAGAAATACATGCAGTGGGATAAAAATATCTTGAGATAGCGTGTGAACTGAGATTCAGAATCAAATTATATACAGCAAGTTCAAGAGATACTTTAGATGTCTCAAAGGAAAGTATTTCCCGAATGCGGCCAATTTCTCTATCTTGAATATATTAATGATGAGAGACTGCATTAGGAATGTCAGCATAAAGACAAAGCATTAAAACTACATACTTTAGCCAGGTGATCAAATAATCATTTTATATCATTTAAAATAGAGCAGTCAATGCTAATTTAGATCTGATATTCTTACTGTTCCACTCCAATAACCTTATAGCTTCTGCCAAGTAATCCGACCAGGACAAACAGTGTAAAAGGAGGAGCCAAACTCATCTGACATTGAAATAATTCAAGGATCTGTCACCAGGAGAAGACAGAAATGGTGGCCTTTTCAAATGCTGGAATCTTAGCAATGAAATAAATGAGCCATGGCTTTGTGGAGCACAGATGAGAAATAAAAATATGTTGAATTGAAAATTAAAAAAAAAAGTCCCAGGTTTCCCTGATTATTGTATACTATCTTTTTTTAGAGTTTTGGGTCACACCTGTCAATACACAAGAGTTACTCCTGGCTCTGCACTCAGGAATTACTCCTGGCAGTGCTCGGGGGACCATATGGGATGCTGGGAATCATCCAACCTGGGTCGGCCTCCTATAAGGCAAATACTCTATCTGCTGTGCTATCGCTCCAGCCCCTGTATCCCTGTATACCATTTTTGTGAAGTTAAAAACTAAGCAAAATTAAACAAACTTTTTATATAGACATATATAGAGAGAGAAAGAGAGAGAGAGAGAGAGAGAGAGAGAGAGAGAGAGAGAGAGACCGCGTGCGATCTATTTTAGAGGGCCAGTGACATAGTACAAGGGTTTAGGTGCTGACCTTGCATGTAGCCCACCCTAGCACAGCATATGATCCCTTGCGCACATCTGTGAGCACTCAGGAAGGAACTCCTGAGCACAGATCCAAAAGTTGACCCTCAGCACTACTGGGCATGGCCCAAACTAAAACCCCACCCACTACCCAATTTCTTTTTTTTTTTTAAATAATAAGACAATGATGAATATAAGATGTAGAACAGTGGTTAGCTGGAGGGAAGAGAGGGAGAAAGGGAATGGAGAAGGAGCATGAAACTACCTTCTATAGTATCAATGATATTTTAGTTCTTTTTTTTTTTTTAAAGTTTCATATCTGTCTGTGCTCTGGGGCAAGGGGTTGCTTCCAGGAATGCTGGGGAATGAGTCATGGCCTCCTGCATGCAAAATATGTCCATGCCGCCATAGTGGAGGGGCAAGGGGGACAGTTAGGTTGGAGAAGGGACCACTAAGAGTGTTGGAAATGATCACTCTGAACAAGAACTGAGTGCTGAAAGGAGGTAAAGAGATATACATGATAACCTGTCAGTACCTGTAGTACCTGTATTGTAAACCAAAATGCCCAGGAAGGGGTGGAGGAGGGATGAGGGGGAGGGATGGGAGAGGGAGAGGAAGAGGGGGATAGGGAAAAGGAGGGGGGGAGAGAGAGTGAGAGAGAGAATATGCCTGCTGTAGAGGCAGGCTGAGGTGGGGATGGGGGAATGGGAGGGAAACTGGGGACATTGGTGGTGGGAAATGTACACTGGTGGAGGGATAGGTATTGGAACATTCTATGAATGAAATCCAATCATGAACTACTTTGTAACTATGTATCTCATAGTGATTCAATAAAAAATTTTTTTAAAATAAAAAATGAAACCAAAACAAAATATGTTCGCGTCCTAATTCTTTGGGAAGAAAATGCATGAAGCAGCATTCATTTTATTTATTTTAGGTTTGGCATCAAACCAGGCAATGCTTGGGACTACTCCTGAATCTGTACTTGGGGTAACTTCTGGGTGGTAGGAACTAAACTGGGCCTCCTACATGTAAAGCACAGTCAGTCTGTTGAACTATCTTGCTGGCCCTGCAATTATTCTATACTTTATATTTTACATTTACACCATATATATCTCAAATATTGGAAATCATCTTTGAAAAAAGGTCAACTGACTTTTAAGAGGATATGTCATATGCAAAGACATTCTTTTAATTCTGGCATTAACACTCACTTAACAGAGTAACAGCCTCACATTTGGAAATATTTCCAAACCCAAAGGTACTTTTTAAAACAAAGAACATAACGCAGTTATTACTGACATCTTCCAACAACAATCTCAGTAAATAATATGCATTTACTCCACAATGCAGCTTATACTTTGTGAAGCAACGACGACTTAAAAAGTATATCCATGGAGATGAATGAAACAAAATGTACAGGGCATGTAGAAGGGAAAAAATATAGGAAAAGACTGTGAAGAACACAGGAACTCACAGAAAGAAAAGAAAAAAAAGAGAATAGCTCATCAGAGGAGAATGCTTGCATGCAGTCAACACAGGTTCAATTCCTGGTACCCAATAAGGCTCCCCAAGCCCACCAGTAGTGATCCCTGAACGCAGAGTCATGAGTAACCCATGAGCACAGTCGAGTGTGGCCCAAAAACCAAAACAAAACAATAAAAAGGGAAAGCACCTCAGAGTAGAAAGGATCAGTTATAAACTGTAAGTAAACTTCTAATTTTATTTGATTTTAAAATTTGTATTTAAAAATATTTTGGGGGGAGCCAGAGTCCTGAGCCCTACTGGGTATGGCACACCCTGTCCACCGAAAAAAGTTTCTGTTTTTAGTTTTTGAGCCATACCCAGCAGTGCTTAGGGACCATGTGCTGCTCGAAGTGAATCCAGGCCTGCAGTATGCGAAGTATATGTTTAGTCCATTGAGACATCTCTCTGGCCCCTATAAGTTTATTATTATTTGGGTTTGGGGGCTATATCCAGTGGTGTTCAGGGGTTTCTTCTGCTGGGGAGTGGAGGACTGTATGTGGTCCCAGGGATCAACCTGGGTCAGCAACATGCAAAGCAACTGCTGTACTATTTCTATAATCCCTTATAAATTTTTTTTTAAAAAGAAAATCCTTAGGCATTCCTAAAGCTCTGAGCCGGGAATAAATCTAGCACTGTTGGTGTGGCCCCAAAACAAAATAAAAAGCAAACAAAAATTACTGTATGGATTCCCTGAAATACTACATAAAAATATAAAGACCGTACCAAATATTAAAGACCTGGAAAGATATTGGGAGTACAGCCCCCAGTGTATGCCTAGTAAGCACAAGGCCCTGAGTCTGATCCCCTGTACCACAGGGTGTAGCCCCTACTCAAAAAAATAAGACAAAACAAAAGACGTAAGCAACCACCACTATAAAGATACTTACAAAGTCATCTCCAGAGTCAGCTCCCATAGAGGCAACCGATTCCTTGCTCACTGACCGTGGGATCCTAGTAGTACCTCCAGGCCTCTGGGCAACAGCTGTCTCTTCTGCAATTTTCTTCTTTAGTTTTGCAAACATTTTTGCTGTGTGAATATCAGGGACCAAACACCAGCTCTTGAACTAGGAGACCTTTGGCCAGGAATCAGGAATTCAGAGACAGGTGCCTAAAAAGTTCCAGACATCCACACTTGATGCATTCATTCCCAATTTAATGTAGGCCAAGGGATGGTAGAAACACACAATCTATAAATTAGAAGACAGAGTTATATTAAACACTAGAGAGATTCACATCTGAGTCACTGCATTAAATTTCAGGTTTCAAAAATGGTTTCATTACTGTGTATGTACCTTTAATAGGACACAATTACTGACATTCAACAAGCTCTCAGGTGTTCCCTATGCATATACAAGTAAAGCAATTCAGGCTACAGAAGGTGATGTAACCTGCCAAATTTGTGCAGGGAAATGGCAGGTTTGGACTCTGACTCAACAGTTCCTCCATCTTTCTGTGACACATTAGTAAGGCATAGGCACATTTACTAAAATTTTCCAAAGCAAACATTACCATTACAGATTACTTCTGAATCCTTGTCCCAAGAATACCATTTAATTACTGCTGAGCAATTTTGTAATAATGAAAACAAAACCATGTAACTCAATATGGGGAAAGGGCTAATGCTCTGGACCAGTGGTTTGCAACCAGCTGATCAGAAAAAAAATTTGAACACGCTGGAGACTTGGGAGGCTTTGCAAATGTGAGGCCCAGGAGTCAATGCCTGGCACCGCCTAGTGGAAAAAAAAAACCAAACTGACAATGAGAAAAAAAAAAGCAGGCAGATCAGAACACAAGATATGGGCTAACCTTATATGTTTCTTGGAGATGCTGTGGTTCTGTGGAAGGGTGGGTAAAATGACCTTAAGCCGGTTTCCTCAGAAAGGGTGAGAAGTCGATACTTTTGTGCCTTTTCCCCCCAAAGAGGCGGGGGACACTAACCATCTAATCTCGACTCTTAACTTTCCATATGTGGACGATACCTAAGCTCTGCTCTAAAGATCGACAAAGGCCTTTTTACCTTCTTACACTCATCTAAGTCTGCACAAATTCTCCCCCAGATTCTCTACTTTCCGTGGCTGCGAACCACCGACTCACCTGTCCTAGTCATGAGACTTAAAACAGCTTGGCCGGCCAAAGCATTCTGACCTGCATGAAGACAAACATGAGATGCAGAGGGTGTCTGCTTTCCGGCGAAGGCCAAAATGCTGACAGAGGGAAGGGGGTGAGGAGAGGCGGGAGGCCGGGGCCGACCTGTCACCGCGACCACGCCGCTGGGGCGCCACCCCCACCCAGCCCGCCCCCGAGTCGCCTCCGCATCTGTGATTTGCCCAAGAGTTCCCCTTCCACACGCTCCAGAACACCGACTCCTGTCTGGAGAAGGCGCCGAAATTCACTCCGTTGAGGTGGCGGCGAGGGGAGCCCCGAGCCGAACCAACCTGCAGGAGACCAAGGTTTCTGGGCCAGTTGTGTATTTCTCGGTTGCTTCCGACAGTCACACACTGCTGACCCGGCCAGGCGCGGGGCTGGCGAGCCCTGAGGAAAAGGGGGCGCCGAGTCGGGTCAGAGACAGCTGCCTGGGCGAGGAAGTTTGGGTCCCACTCACTCCGGTGCCTTCCAGCTCCGCCCCTGCTCGGACTGTCAAGGAAGGGAAGGACCCAACGTCTCTCGCATCTGACAGCCGAGGAACTGCGCCGCGGACCCGAGGGGCGCCTGACTGGCCCAAGGTCGCGCGGGGAGGAGGAATCCAGACGCCGCGGGGCGGGAGCGTCAGGCCGGCCGCTCCGCCCGCGCCCCCGCCACAGCCCTCTCAGCGCCGCGGCACCGCCCTCAGCTGGGGGGCTCGGGCGCCCCGTCCCGGCCGCTCTGGGGGCCGACAGCGGCTCCCCGGAGAATGAGGGGCCCGCTCGCGTCTCCGCGCACCTGCCGCTCTCGGGCCGGTCGGCGGGGCCCCGCCTCCGGGCCCTCTCGTGAGCGCCGGCCCGCGCGCGTCACCAGCCCCCGCGGCCGGCCGGCGAGCAGAGCGGCGACCCGGAACCGCACTGGCCCCGGCGCGCCGGAAGTGGCTGCACGCTGGGGCCGGCGCGCCGCACGCATGCGCTCCGGCGGCCCCGGCGCGGCGGCGGTTGGAGCCGGAGCGGCCGCCGGTTGCGGGCGCAGGTCCTGTCGCTGCCGCGGCCGGTTCGCCACGTCAGCTCGCGGTCCGACCCGGGGATGACGACCGACGGGGCGGCCCAAGTCTGTCTTTCTTGATTTTTTTTTCTTTTTAAAGGGACGGCGCGGAGCTGCGTGGTCTAAGGGAACGATCCCAGCTGGTGCCGTGGGGGCCTGCGTGCGCCGTGCGGGGTGGAGGCTCCGGGCGTGGCCGCCACGGGCCACCTGGGGATCTCGACCCCCCCCCCCCCCCGCCCGCCCTGTCGCTCTGGAATCTGGTCCCGGGACCTCGCGCCCGGTGACTTGGGCTTGGCTCAGGTGGCCTCTGTGGCTCGATTTTAGGTCCGAGGTCAGGACAGGACAGGCCAGAAGTCCCCCTCTTGGAACCTCACGGGCCACTCTTGGGAGCTGAAGCAAGCCCAGCGGGGCAGAAGTGCCAAGTTCAAAGCTACCGGGTGAATCAGGATCTCGTGAGTGGTTCTTGGTCCAGCCCGAGGGTCAGCCCAACGCCCCCTCCCCAGCCCTACCCTAGGCGTGGTCCAGTTGTGACACTCAGGAGAGGGGGCGGGGGAGAAGCCGGAGAAGAGATATACAGCCAAAGACTACCTACAATCCCGTCTGCGGAAAGGATGCAAACCACCACAGCCCACACCACGGCAGTGGCCAACGATTCCGCGGAGCTATCAAAAACTTTAAGCAAATAATGTTTATTTTATATTGGTGATACACATAATATATACGTGGATTCAAGATACAAAATTCATTTACAAGAGTTCACACCTGATGGATGTAGTCACATTCCTAGAGAACAATGCAAAGATGTCTTCGATACACTGACAACAAAAATCAAATGTTCTGTAACCATGTAATTCAATAAACACCAAAACAACGCTTAACTGTCATCCTCTAGTATTAAGTGCCCTCAAGGTGGTAGTACCGTGTAACAGAAGAAGAAAACATTGGAAAGACAAGGGCCTATTGATCTCTGCAGAATCACAGTGTTTACTCTTAAGTTCATTTAAGTGAAGTAGTGGAAAGCTTGCTATCCTTTAGGACAAATCACATACAAAAGTCAGAAATGATGAACTCAAGAGAAATGTTTCAATAATTTCTCAATTTCTAAAATCTAAAGAACCATAACAAAGCAGGAGAAGGCTGCTGAAAGAAGGAACAAAACAAGAAAACATCCTTAAGACTATGGCTTCAGCAATTTAGAAACACAACAGACGAGACTTTTACAATACCACAAATGTTCAAGCCAAATCATAGTGACGATATAATTTTCCCCCTTAGTCATTGGTAGTAAATAGCCCCTTCAAGATTTATTCTACTGATAACATATACAAAACTAATGAATCCAAATGGTTTGCTGTCTCACAGAGTTGGGTTGATGGGTTCTTTTCTAGTATTAACCCACAATACCCGAAATTTAACACAAATGAGCAACAAGACTACGTTTCAAGGATTACAGTGATTTGTGAGTAGCTAGATAGGCAACCAAATAGCTTCATCATTTGCACGACAGGTTAGCAGCACTTGGATAAGAACTGTCACATGAAAATTATTGTGCTTCAATCTCTTGAGGAGAGCTAATAGATAGAACTCTATAATCCCTATAGTATTACAATTCTATAACATTTCAGTTACAGACAAGCACAATTTTTAAAAAGCATTTCACATCACGAGAAACTCAAGTAATTAAAATCTCCAAATGCAATTTTTGCTATGATTGAAACAAGTGCATTTCTGCCTAATACCCATAATATAGACAATAGGTTCACCATTATTTTCAGGGAAAAAAGTCAAACTTACTTTAACTCCTATTTGATTATCTTAACTGTTAGTAATGATTTGAATGAAGGTAAAAGCTATCCAACCTTACAATGGAAACTACTCATAGAAAAGAATCTGGCTTGAAATTATAAATAATCCTTAGAGCAAAATAAATGATTTATAACTGCTTCATCTGATTTAATTGAAACCACTATGTATACTGGTGCTACACAAAGAGGATAACCTATTGAGATAACTTCCTTCACTTGTAAGTTCTTCTATGAAAATATTAGGACATTGTATCTGCCTCTTCTATTATCTAAGACCTTTCTACCTCACTGGAGGAAGTCCCCACATACAACTATCTGGCTGTTGAATGTCACGGTTTATTTGCACAATGAAGAAACCAGGAATGTGGCCCATCTTTAGAGTACAGGCCTCTCATGAGTGAGACTCTGGGTCTGATTTCCAGCACTATAAAACCAAACCAATCTAGAGGATAAAGGACCAGATCCAAGGCTGGCCAAGAGGACAAAAGGAATGTCTTCAGGTAACTACTGAAAAAAGTCATAAACGCAAAGTCCTAAAATATCTTACTGAACCTTTAAAAGTTCTTTCAAAATAGGATAAACGAGTTAAAAATGAAAGACTTCAGAAAAATAATAAAACTTCTTATTACCTTAAACATCTTAACTTTTTCCTGTAGATTTTTAATCATCACAATACATACTTACACTCTATTAAAAAAACACCCAGTAATATGCAAAGGAAGGTAAAAATATTTTCTTCATTTCTCTATGGTTTGAAAATACTTATGAATCAAATTGTAACTTTACAAATGTTAACTTTTAGTCATAACTAGATGGTCATGACAACCTCAAAAGAAAAGAGAATATTGATGATATGACATGCAATTTCAATTATTTGCTGTAGACCTATAGGAAGGCTAGCTATCATTCCCTTTTTCTGAAAGTGATAGTATCACTCAGTCTATTTTTTCATTTCAGAAGGCTATCAGAAAAGTAAAAACCCAAACCCTGAAATTACCAATATCTTATAAACATACTACACCTAAAAATGATTGTCTTAGGATATTTATAGACTGGAATTATCCAATAAAATACGGAAATATTCCCAATTTATAGTCTGTTCTGTGACCAAATTCAGGTTTGACTAAATGAATGTGCAGTACAAAATTAATATATTTTAAACAATTTTTTAAAAATTGTTCAAATATGCTTAAAATCACACTGCTTAATTTGACAGCTAATTTGAAAAATAATCTTTAGAAACAAACAAAAATATTTACAAATTAAAGATGGTGCGTCAGTGATTAACAATGTTATGCAGAATTGTAATTCTCAAAAATCAGTACTACAGCAAGTGAAAAAGTCTTAACTTTTGCTTAAGAAAACTTATCTATAGAACTCCAAAAGAAATATTTCTAAGGTATCGAATACAATTTAGTACACTAAATTTAATTCATTATTTTACCCATTTAAGAGCATGGTCCCTAACATCAGCCTGGCACCCCTCTATTTATGGGTAATCGAGCTCTTTCACAGTCAATTATTTTTCCTTGAACACAAAGGGATTTAGTTTAAATAATCTCTGTGTTAAATAAAATCAGCAACACTGGGAGACAATGCAGTATGTTTTGACATTCTAGTTTCAAGAAGCTGAATTGCCCTTTTTTATTGTTCAGGTAAAGTAGTCACAGTGTCCAGGGAAGTACAGGTTGAATAGGTAGGAAGTATCAATGCACAAGAGCAAAGGAGAACAGAGAGAAAGGGCTTGGTTTTCTAAGCAAGTCCTATCTTTACTGCACTGTAACTTGCTGACAACTGTGAAGAGTTGGAGGTCATAGTCACAAAGCCACTCTCGTCTACTGCACTTTTTATTGCTGCTATTTGGCTCAAATGAATGTCTACAGTAATCCTGAGCCATGTCATGAATTTCAAATAAGCATACCCCAATTGCTCAGCTATACTCCAGTTGTAATAAATGATTGTTACTTAAAGAGAACATCAGACACTATGAGACACTATATTTTCATGATTTTTTTTTAACTTTTCAGTTTTTGAGTCACACCTGGTGGTGCTCAGGGTTATTTCTGTTGTGTTATGGATCACTCTTGGTGGGGCTCAGGGGACCCATATGAACCGGGGTTGGCTGCACGCAAGGCAAGTGCTTTACCCACAGTATAATTGCTCCAGCCCCATTTCATTATTAAAAAAATATATACTATGTTACCACATTTTAATATTTAAGAAAAAGGCTAGTATAACTTTATTTTAAATTTAACGCTACGAATGGTTGACTGCAATGAAAAGGTCAATGTAGTATTTTGGGGCGTGGTACTATTGGCTCCTGACTCATCTCTTTCAACTTCTCTCTTTAAAATAATAAGTGATCGGATAAATATAATCATCTTAATAACAGTGGGGTAAAATGTTGCTTTGCAGTTATACTTATCATGCAGTTATTCTACCTGATTTTGGTGGTGAACGTATTCAAGGTATCTCAAATGTCTCTTATACTCTTTCATGCACATAATCATTCCAAGTCGGACAGGAGCAACACGCTGTAAAACTCTTTGACCCCAGTGTGATAGTCTGTGACCCCAAGGATCTACAGATGTACAGTGTCCATGTACTCTGATCCTTCCCACACTGTCAGCCTTGGGAGAAGTTTGAAGGCCCAGATTTCATAGCATGCCATGCACCTAAAATTAAGAACCCTACTTCATGTGTGAATATATCAATTTGCAGAACACAAGTGTCTCATAGAGACAAAGAAATACAACTGGAGGCATTTCATTCACTGGGTGCATTTTCTCAGATGAGCAAACTCATCCTTGATATGTAATTCCAGTAAGAAAAGTCTAGAATTGGAAATGCCATGAGCTGCTGCAAATATACAGATTAACAACATTTCTTTCCTCATTCGATCCCACCCCACCTGGGTAAAGACTTCCCTTAGCAATGTCCCCTTTTCTGCCTCACAGAGACAGATGCAAAATGAGACATACAGTGAAAAAAGGTGTTCCAAAGTTAAAACTTAATATTAGGTACAAAACTGGCAACTAGGAATATATTTCCTTACTTTAGAAGGATATTTTGTCTATTTTGAAATGCAAAATCAAAGTAATTTTTTTCCAGAGCCCCTTGATTCTCAATATAAACACTTTATGATTCAGTAATAATAGTTAACTATGGGTCAAGAAAATAAAGGACTACTAATATAGCTTAAGAACCTGCTGGTGTCTCAGTTTCACATACTTTTTTCAGGTTTATATATTTACCATTAGTTTAAATGGAAATTGGCAGATGGTTTTAAAGCTAAGAATATGCAGCTTTCTGTTCAAATCTTTATATCCTAATTTCAACTCCAAATTAGCCCATTTTACTCAAACACAAGCCCCTCAAAATAGAGGCTCGTGAATGAGATGCACCTTAACCTAATAACAGCAGCATGAACAATGCCACTAGGATGTCCTCACAGAACTTAAATAAATTCAGCCCACAATGGGTATGGGTATATAATATACACATACTGTATCATTGCATACCAATATATTTACAAATATGTACATATATACAAATGTATACACAGAGATTGCATTTAGCTTCACAAAAATATACACATGCCATTACAAATAAAATAAGAATTTCAAATAAATAAGGTCAACGAAAGAGCCCTCAATGTAAATATCCCTTATACTGTCCAAACACACAGGAACAAATATACTCCAAATAGCATTCATTCGATTCATATTCATATCATATCTTTTTACTCACTTAGGGGTAGGAGGTGGTTCTGAATCAGTGGCAAAAACCAAATTTGCAGACCTTGGCAACTTACTCTATTTCCACTTCAGAATGTTCTCTGTATATCAGACTGACTACAGGTCACTGTGGATTAACTAAGTACAAGATTTTTCAAGTGAGTTACAAAGCTCTTCTAAGAGACAAAAAGTTACTAAGTCACACAGGTCAGAGATGAAATTTGGAGAATGCTCAAGAAAGCTCCATAACTGGTACAAAATCAGATTTGTTGCTTATCCCTTTGCCTCAACAAAGTTCAATAATCTGAATTAACTCAGAATTTAACCTAATCAGTTTCAGAGAATTTATTGCCAAGAAGAAAATAAAGGACAGTAGCCACAGTGAAAAAAGGAAAAATTGAAATCCAGATCTGAAATCAGGAAAATTTAGTCAGGATTAGATTACACTTTGCTTTATAATCTCAAAACTTTTCATCTTGGTAAAAATAGAAAGCATACAATAAATTCTTATGTGCTTTTAAAGTTTTTTGAGAGCACCACATCTTAGGAGGAACACAAAATAGATAAACAATACATGCTGGGAAAAAATAAAGACAAAACATTTGCTTAACTTTTTTTTTATAATTAAAATTTTGTCAGGGCAGATTGCTTCACTGGGTTTCATTATTTGATATACTAAAAAAATACCATAGCCTTTTGTGCCAAAAAATAGATTTTTAATTATTTCCTTCTTGCTCATTATAGAAAGCTACCTGAGCTACTAGAAAGACAGGGATGAGATTAGAAGATGTAAGCTTTAGTTCGAGCTCTAACATTATGGATACACAGTTTTGTTTTTATTTGGTCTCAGCTTTCTCTTCTGTAAAATAAGAAGATAGTTGCTTTACCAACTTCACACGTAAGTGGGTAAAAGAAAACATTTCCATTGTGCTTAGTTTTGTTTTGGGTACAAAACAAACCGAAATTGTGCAAAGTTGTACTTTTCATTTAATTAACCATAATTCCTATGGGAAGCCAGAGACTATATCAGAATCTCCAGGGGGAGAGTTTGTGCAATTTGATACCAAAGAAGTGCCATTGCTTTGCTCTTTCCCAATATTTAAATTTCTATGAATCTAAAAACAAATAAGTACAGGGCTTAAAGGGATGGTGTGCATTAAAAAACTGGGATTCCTTGCCATTGCAATCATGAGCCCATCAGGTGATTGTCCTTTTACAGTTCTTCCTCGATTAATGCCTTCATGTTTTAAAATAAATTATGCATTAGATAGAAGCTGGTTGATAGGTATAAGTGGACATTTTAGACCCTGTGTATATTTAAAACTAGCACAAAGGTATCTGCCTCAATAAGGTCTATTCTGATCTTCATCTAAAAATCACATTTTGTCCAAAAGCAAAAGCAAGATTTCCTTGCCATAGTCTAAATTTTCTTCATGCTAGTTATAACTTTCTACTATAAATTTACTTATTTTCTTTATTGTCAGTCACCTACTAGAATGCAAACTTCATAAAGACATTGAGTTATAAGTCTATTTGATTAGATCTAGAATAAAATATGTACTATTTTAGAAGTTTGTTTTATTCTTGTTTCAGGGCCACATCTGGCAGTGCCCAGAGCATATTCCTGACTCTTTTATCAGGGGTTGCTCCGTGCAGGGCTCAGGGGACCTCATGGGGTGCCAGGGATCAAATCCAGGTTGGCTGCATATAAGGCAAATGCCCCACTTTCTGTACTATTGCTCTGGCCCCAGTACGATCTTAGAATTTTAAGCAACATTTTTGAAGGCATGAAAAAGACAACAGTTTAGAAATTTCATATATCCTTTCACTAAAGACTTCAGTTCACTTTTGATTTTTAACTACAAAGAATTTTTAACTAAAATATTTTGATATTATACTACAACTGGATTAAGTGGCCTTGTTATCATCTAAACCCTAGCAGTGATTTCTAAATTCTCATGCACTTGAACAAGAATGCTTCTAGTCTCAAAGTTCTCATTTCTCAGGGAGATTCTCCCTCTGATCTAGTTTCAAAGATTAGATGGGAATCCAGATATTATCTTCAACAAAAACTAGGAATAGGAAAATCACATTCAGAAAAGAGAATTGTTTGTACATTAAAAATCAAGTTTGATAAGTGGCATGAATGGAAAAATCTCTATCTTTTGGAACCAAGAGTTCAAATTATAGAACCAAAGAACTGGAAAAAATTGGGCCAACAACTTCCTTTTACAGTTGAGAGAATTAAAAAGCAGAGACCTGAAGACACCTGTCAGCAGGTAAAGCTAGTTACCAGGAGAGCCTGAATCAGAACTCAGATCTCCTAGTTCTCAGATCCCTGTTCTTTATGCCAAACTTGTGAGTCTAAAGCTCAGGATAATAAATATTATTTTAAGCATCAGAGAGCAGGAAAATACATGATTTTTTTTATTAGAAGCATTTCTGGCACAGAACTGAAGTGGACTTGAAACAAGAGGTCAGGCAACTAAGGCTAATCTACTGCTATAAAGGGAAAGCTATCCAAAAAAGGGTAGACTTTAATACTGAAAAATCAACCCACTAGCAGGAGAAATCTCTCTCCGGGGTAAATTTTCCAAAGCTTTCTGAAATAATAAAAAAGGACAGACAAAAAGAATTTAATATTGAAACACCACAAAGTCCCCCAAACCCAGGAAACAAGAGCCTTGAGACTTCAGATGAAAAATCAGCAAATTAGAATGGGCAGATGAATAACTCAGACCCAAATAACTTTCTATGCCAGAAATGAAAGCTGAGTTAAAAATACTACAGTAAAATTCACTTAGGGACACAGGAAAGAGGCACCAAAAGCAATTACCTCATTTCCCCTGGGACTGTGAGAGGTAGAAGAGCCTATATAGAAAATTAGGAAGAAGGAATTTTGATTCATAGATTTTTGAACTTGAAAGCTGTGGAGTCTTTTAAGGGAGAAATAAAATCACAGATAACTGCCTGTAAAATATGAAGGAGATGATGGGAAGGGGGGCTGGGGGGGAAACATGAAAATCTTTATATTTTATATATCAAGTCCTATTTAAAATAATTAAAAAAAACCTATGCATGAGTATAAAATAGTAAATACAAGGAGTTAAAAAATCTTATTTTGAAATTGTCAATGCAAAAACGACTTCCATTTTTGGTCAAATAACAAATCTGTTACCCCCAACTGAAATGAATGACCTCTCTGACCTCTGGGTAAAAGGATGCCAAGCCCTGCACCGTGCGCCATGGACTTCCGTCCTGACAGCTTCGACGCCTACTGGCAGGAACTGAAGTCCTAGGAAACACTGATTATACTATGAAACCAACCATCTGATTTTTCAGCTGTGATATTTAAAAGCCGTTCTTTCATATTTCCAGCATTCACAGACTACAGAGAAAGAGAATATGCCAATGTTATCTCATGATAACACACGACTCCCACACTCCAAATTAAATTTATCATCTCAAGGCCCCAATGAAAAAAATTAGCTTTCAGGTTCTCAAAATGAGTTCCGTACAGTTTCTGATATGTTGACAGTGTTATAAATGAAGGAAAATGATCTCAAGAACTGTCTTGATTATGCTTCAAGGAATCACACAACGTTCTGTCTACTTTCTTGGAATGAAAAAGAAAAAACTATGGAAAGACTGTTCTTGATCTTAGTAGTCCATGCTGTCTAGGGTCATCTTTGCAAACAATTACATTTTTTTCCAAATCCACACATTTAAGGTCCAAGTACAAGAGCTGGATTTTCCTCTTTATACAAAAATAAATGATTTACTCTTCTCAGGGTGAGAATAGTGATTATTTTGAGTGTAGGATTAATGTTGGAAGTAATCCATACCTCAAAACCAAAAAATAAAAATTCCAAGATTGAGTTATTTTTTAAAAGACCTGAAATACTGTATTTTTAAAACAGTTATCCTAAAAGTGTGAGCATTTATTTTTTCAGTTTGTTTTTAAAATGGTGGTCTTAAATTAAAAAATAAAAACTAAGTAACACCACTATGTGTCTGTCATCACATTAGAAAACGGCACCATTTATAATCTGTGGCAAATGAAAAACTGTTTAAACAAGAGGATGCGAGTTTCAATAGTCATCTATGGCATTCTCAAGGAACACATTTCGCACATCCAGGATGGACGCCAATTCCAAAATATGCTTCTGTAGATGAGGATTCTCCACTGTTTCATCCCTTGGCAGTTGTGGATAGGATTCTGGGTAATTTCGTGTTTCCTGGGAGGCAAAAAAAAAAATGAGAAAGGAGGTATTTTATAGGTTAATGAAAGAAAATTATAGACAGCCTTAATAAGGATATTGTTAGCATGAGAGCTAGAGCAGGCTGGAGCGATAGCATAGCGGGTAGGGTGTTTGCCTTGCACACGGCCAACCTGGGTTCGATTCTTTCGTCCCTCTTGGAGAGCCCGGCAAGCTACTGAGAGTATCCCGCCTGCACGGCAGAGCGTGACAAGCTCCCCGTGGCATATTGATATGCCAAAAACAGTAACAACAAGTTTCACAATGGAGACGTTACTGGTACCCGCTCGAGCAAATCAATGAACAACAGGAGGACAGTGCTATAGTGCTAGCATGAGAGCATAAAGGAGTAATCAGATGTACTTTTCATCTTCAGACTGGTTTGACCCTTACTAACAATAGAGTTGCAGAACATACAAAATCCTTCACATTTGACTATTTTAAAAATTTTAATTGGAGGACGATGTGGGACATACCCAATGGTGCTCAGGGGAGTCATACCCTGACTGTGCTCAGGAGAAAACTCAGGCAGAACTTAGGGATCATATATGGCTCTGGGAATTTAAGCTGGGATCAACATGAGGAGAAGCCTTAACCCCAACACTACCCCTCCAGGTAGGCCTGGGCATAGCAAGAAGGATTCCCACATCTCCAAGGTACCACTGAGTTTTGGCCCTATGACACAGTGGAAACTTGATCAAGTCACTTACTAGTTATTTCACAAGTATTTACTGGGATCTCTCACTTCTGGATGCTAGTGTTATGCTAAGTGGAAACTATGTAAATCCTACTTTCTGCAGGGAAAAAAAATCATAGCATATACAGAATTTCAACAAGTATTTGTAAAATTACTGAACAAACAGATGTTATAACAGAAATTTTAAAATACCCAAGAAGCTCTGCAAAGTCCAAGTATTAGAACCTACTAATTCCAGAAATAACGGCTGGAGCAATAGGGCTGGGTAGGACATTTGCTTTGCATGTGGGTTCAATTCCTGTTATCCTGTGTGGTCCTCCGAGCACTGCCAGGAGTGATTCCTGAGTGAAGAGCCAGCGGTAACCCCTGAGCATTGCTAAGTGTGACCCAAACAGCAATTTAAAAAAAAAAAAATCCAGGAGTGAGAGGCGTCAAAGGGGACTGAGAATGCAGGATTAAAAAAAAATAATAATAAAGTTTATTTTTATTTATTTTGGTTTTGGCATTTGACCCAGCAGTAATCAGGAATTATTACTCCAAGTGGTGCTCGGGAACCCATGGGATCCTGGGGATCAAACCTGGGTCAGCACTGCTGCAAGTGCCCTCCCTGCTGTACTTTGCTTCAGCACCCACCAAATACTGTTAAAGTTCAGTCTTCAAAAGTTAATTGAGAAAATGAAAAGGCAACTCTAGGACTGGAAAAAAAAATAGGGAGTACATTGAAAAGACTATTAACATTATTCACAGGTGAAATGTAAATTGAGATAGCACTGTATAGCACTGTCCTCCCGTTGTTCATTGATTTGCTCGAGCGGGCACCAGTAACGTCTCACAACAAATTGTGAGGCTTATTGTTACTGTTTTTGGCATATCGAATACATCACGGGTAGCTTGCCAGGTTTTGCCGTGCGGGCGCAATACTCTCAGTAGCTTGCCGGGTTCTCCAAGAGGGGCAGAAGAATAGAACGGGGGTTGGCCAAGGTCGGCTATGTGCAAGGCAAGCGCCCTACCTGCTTGTGCTATCGCTCCAGCCCAAAGTTTGAAATTTTGTGCCTTTTTTCAATTTGCCTAACTATGACTCTTAAGGTAAATTGAATAAAGGCACAAAATTTCAAACTTTGGTAACACCAAGTATGATACAGGCTACTTGTGGGAATATGAAACATTTTAACTAGGCTGGGGAGAGAGTTCAACAGGCTGGAGCACATGCTTGCATGTAGGAAGCAAGGGTTTTATCACAGATACGACCTGGTCCCCTGAGCGCCACAAGCAGTGATCCCTGAGGACTGTTCCAGGAGTTGTTCTGAGTATCCCCCACAAAAACCCACAAAATGCTACACCTACTTTGAGAAAAGCTTTGGCAGTATCTTATATGGCCTCTTCAGTATTATCAGGAGTGATTCCTGAACATGAAGTCAGGAATAAGCCCAGAAAACAAATAAAAATGGAATAAGTCCAAAGCACAGCCTGGTATGACCCCAAACCCAAATACATACACACATACATGCACTGTAGCACTGTCGTCCCACTGTTCATTGATTTGCTCAAGCGGGCACCAGTAACATCTCACAACAAATTGTGAGACTTGTTGTTACTATTTTTGGCATAGCGAATACGTCATGGGTAGCTTGCCAGGCTTTGCTGTGCGGGCATGATACTCTTGGTAGCTTGCCAGGCTCTCCGAGAGGGGCAGAGGAATCAAACCCGGGTTGGTCATGTCAGCCACGTGCAAGACAAATGCCTTACCCGCTGTGCTATCACTCCAGCCCACATACATACATAACATATTTATGAAGTATGAGTGCAACAAGTAAAGGCACAGTATTTATGGAAAAAGCAACTCTTACATACTCCTGGTGTGCAACTGGCACGACTTTGCAAATTATTTGGCATTACCCCCCAAAAACGGAATATGCCTAAATCCACTGACTTTACATTCCACTATTAGATTACTATCAAAGACATAAGGTCTCAGAAGAAACTTAACAAAAGATTTCAGCATAGCATTGTTTAATAAAAATCTGAAAAAGTAACCTGAATACCCTTTACCAGCAGAATGGATAACTAGTTTATATATATATGCATGCATTTCATAAAGGCATTTGGGTCCATGACACACTCATTACATGAAAGTGATTCCCTTACTCTGTCCCATACAGACCAAGTGTGGAGCAGATGCAGCCATCTCGGTCTGTATATTTACATTCCAGGATGTCCACACAACAAAATGGCCTAAATATGCCTTTCTCAGAATATATCCTTACCATTAAGTGATGCCTGGTCCAAAGTGGAGCCCTCTATGGTAGTTAAAATAAATTCATGAAAGCTATAAAGTCACTAACATGTTTCAATCTTAGAAATAATACCACAATGAGTGGAAAAAATCAGACCTAAAATACGGACCCATAGATATGCTCTCTGAAAACACAAATGAATGTGGTAAAACTATTGAGGAAAGTGAAAGAAAATTCCAAATTTCTGGGGCTGGAGTAACAGAACAGGGGATAGGGAGCTTGCCTTGCTTGTGGCAGACCTGGGTTCGATCCCCAACACCCTATATGGGCTTCAAGCACCAACAGTGATCCCTGAGTGATCCCTGAGTGTAGAGCTCGAATAAGCCCTGAGCACTGCTGTGTATGGACAAAAAACAAAAAAATTCCAAATTTTATTTTCATCTGGAATGGAAAGAATATCAGAGAGGATCCACACAGAACCTAGAGGAATAAAATGCGTCTCTTAGAGAGGGGTAGGTATTCGTATGTGCTTTATATAATTCACAATTTTACCATTTACAATACATATTTTACCTAAACCTACTCATATTTTACTTAATACAGGTAAAACATAAAACATGATTCTTAAAACATACACCTTAAATACCTAAGATGTAAAACTTTTTCCTTATTAAGTAAATTTTGGCCTACCCGAAAAATCTTGTGCATCCTCATGGTGGCTGAACAAAAGATAAATCTTGTGAGAAGCAAGCGAAGAAATTCATCCCCAAAAAACTGGAGAAATGCCTGATCTGCAAAGAGAAGAAAGGTGACAGTAAAAGGATGTTTACATGGAAAATACTTTTTCAAAGGGGAAAATTTTGGGGAAACCTTTTAAACTTTCCTGTTGGGGATAAACACCTTAAAAACTTCAAACAATTTAAACAGTTTTAAACCTGAATGACACAGTCTATTAAGTGTTCTGTGAGATTAGCAGGGTACCTATTGAACGGGAATGGGTCAGTAGCTGCGCAATATCACGGTTGATTTTTCGAAGATAGTCTTGGCACTTTTCCCATAGGCCTCTACGCATGCTTGACAATCCAGAGACAAATAGGAAGGCCATTAGCGGATTGTTCAAAAAGAGAGTGAAGAGGCTGCCTCTTTGAGATTGATCTGTAATAACAAATATATTTATGTAGAGAGAGACAACATTTTTACAGAAGAGATATATTTGAAGAACACTTTAATATAATGGTAATATATAAAATCAAAGATATGTTGTTAATCATAATTCAACAAAGAAGATTCTGCGTGGAACATTAAAACCATATCCCAGACACAACAGTTGCTGGTGAACAAACTCTGAATTCACCAAGTTTTAGAGTCAACTTCCAAGAAGATAAAAAGCTATTTCCTTGTTTGTTTAGTTTTTCTGGGGGGTTCCCACAGCAGTCCAGGGGCCATAAGGGATATACCAGTCAGTGCTCGAGATGTCCTGAGTCTGGGAATTGAACCCAGGACTGGGTGTACTTCAGGCATTTAGAGCTATCCCCTTGGCCCTGAATATCCTTTTATTGGGGGGCTGGGGGGGAGGAAACGATACTATACCCAGCATGTGTTCCTGGCAGGCTTGGGGTACCATTTTGGGGAGTGGGGGATCAAATCCGGTGTGCTGCATACAAAGCAAACACCCTACCATTGTACTATTGCTCCAGGGCCCCCTGAATATCTTTCATCATCTTTTCCTCTCTCACAAATTTCCTCTGCACTTGACAAGTTGTGGATCATGGACAGTTCAATAGTTCTTGATAGATTTCTTTTCATTTCCCTTTGTTGGTTGTTTCTGTTCTGCCTCTCCTTTAAATATCACTATTTTCTCTGGCTCTACATATTACTTATTTCACCTAGTCTCACGGTACTAGTTATGCTGATTCCCAATTCACCATCTGTAGCTTAGATCGACTTCCTGATGTCCGGAAATCCACTGCTCTGTGGTATGACTGGGGACTCTCACTGGTCCACACTGGGACATGCTGTGAACTGTAAAATATACATGAGATTTCGTAGCTTCACTATAAAAAAGACATATTGCTAACACTAACCTTACACATTTCCACTTGTTTAAACGTGGCAGTCAGAATACTAAAATTACACTTGTGAATACAATTAAATTATTTTATAAGAGAGTTGCTTTAGATTAATAGGCAACCTTACTCTCAACACAAATGTCAGAAACTGAAAAAAAAAATCCCCCACCCCTTTTTAAAAATAAAACTGCTTCTTATCCAACACCGTAGTTGGACCCTTGAAGTGCATCTCTGCTCCTCCCTGAGCGTCCACTGTCAGTTCACGGCTCTGGGTTTGGCATCTCTTGAAGCCAGCTCCCTGGCCGCTGTTGGCACTTTGGCCACCACCACTTCCTTGGTTTCATTAACAATCTTTTCCATGTCATTCTTCATAAGAAAGGCCTTCCATGTATACCCTTCCTTGATTACCTCTGTCATGAAGTCCTGTGAAAGTACTTTATTCCATTTAATCTCTTGACAAATCTTACATGCTTCTCATAATTCAGCCACATAATCTCAACATTACTTTAGTTTCTCTCAAAGTTCATAAACTCTTACCACAGTGTTTCTAGACTAGTCCTTTGTGCGAATACTCTTGTTGAATCATTTTCCATCCCCATCTCATTCAATGTCTTTCAAGTCCACCTATATCACTTCACCCCCTTCTTTGCTTAAGTGCTAGTTAGGAGTTCCTGTGTGTGTTTCCTGGGCTTCCTCCTCTCAGAGTCTCAGCTAGTCACTGCCAGCTCTCTATACCTTCTGCTAAACAACGGGCTATGTGAGAAACTCAACCACGTTTGTCAAGTCAGAGCCTTATCTCCAGTGCCTAGCGCATAACATGATATACATATATAGAACAAATGTTTGTTGAGTGAATAAAGTAACTGTTGGTGAAAGAGAGAACTCTAGGCTTTAGATAGCAAAACTTAATGGAACCTAATCTGACATACTAAATACTAGAGTTATCGGCTAGTTTTGTGTACAGAGAGGACTTAAGAAGCCTGAGTGTATAAGAGGCCTTGAGCCCCAAAATATTAAAGATGTGTATTACATAATAAGGGAATGTTAATAACAATGATAGTGACAGCACATATTGCTTACTAAATACCCAGCATTATTTAGTGAGGTAGATACTATTATTATCTCCATTTAATAAGGAAACTGAAACACAGGATAGCAAAGTAACTTCCCAAGTCACATACTAGTAAATGGCTGAGTTAGGGTTTAAATTCTGTCAATTTCGTCATTTTATTTTTTTGGCTTTTAGGGTCAAAACCGGCGGTGCTCAGGGTTTACTCCTGACTCTATGCTCAAAGATCACATTTGGTGGTGCTCAGGAGCCCATATAAGGTGCTGGGGATCGAACCCAGGATGGCTGTGTACAAGGCAAGTGCACTACCCACTGTCCTATTGCTCTGGCCCCCAGTTTCCCTGCAACCTGCATTTTAACCTCTACACAAAAATGTCTTCCAGAGCAACATAATCTTGACATTAACTCATTAGGCCACACAATTTGAATGAAGTTCTTCATAGAGAAATGGATGGCAAAAGTGTTCTTGGGTAATTGGAAGGGGTTACATTTCTCCAGAAATGAAAAGAAATGGGGTATCAGAGTCCTCAAAGCAGGAGAATTTTACCGTTGTTTGAAGGTAAGTTCTATCCCTTTAGTAACTTGACTTTGGGTATAACAGCTTAATAATTCCGTATGTTTTTCTCTGTGAAATAGCAGAACTTACCTTAAAACAACGGTGAAAAGTCTCCAGCTTCTCTCAGGCATTCAAATGCTGACCATCACTTCCTGTGTCAAACTATGTCAGCAGACAGGACTTCTGGCTGGGAAGTAGCAGTAAAAAGCCCTCTCCCACAGAGACATCCGCACTATTCACAGTCAGGGAGATAGTGAGACAGTGACGGTTGGTTTAGTAGTTTACCTAGCTCAAGGACTGGGACTTAGAATACATTGTCTGTGTTGTTCCTCAAGGACAAATTATTAGGGACAAAAGTGAGTTCACAGCCACCAAAGAAAGGCAAAACACTGACCTGTTCTCTGGCAGACCGAGAAGAGATTCTTTTATTTTAAAAATTACAACCAGGTAAAAAGTGAATAAAAGAAATCCTTTCAGTCGTGCCTAGCAGTTTATCCTCATCCATAGGCATAAAAGCTGAGAAGTTATCTAGACCAGAATTCTTAGGATCTTAAAAGATCCCTACAGTATGGAGCCAGAGATACAGGAAGATGACAAACACACCAAAACTAACACCTGGAAACAAATTTTATTCACAAATCTGGAGTTCCCCAAGAAACCAAATTCACCCTTGGGATATCACTCTGGGATAATGTATCATTCCTATTCGAATGAGCTCAAAACCTGAGGGTAGCACCATTAAGGGAGTCTCGTGTTGGTAAGACTTCCGGGTAAATCTCAGATTGGCACCTGCCACATTAAACGCTATAGATCCATAAGCGACCACCACAGGTGGGGGAGATGAAGAGCAGTATTATTAAAAATGTAGACAGTGTTTAATCGCCATTTATGGACTTAACAGGTAATGACAGAACATACCTTGCAAAGCTTTTGGATATGCTGTAGGAGAAAGCAAGCAGACTAGTGGCTGTCCAAATAAGTTTGTGAAATTCTGTAATATATAAGAATCAGAAATTTTTTTCATTAAAGATTTGACCAAAGATGCTTCTGTAGTAATTAAAAAAACAACAAACATATCAGTAGTGCCTGGATTGGGTCTTATGCTCATAAGCAGATGCAGAAACATCAACAGCTGAAGATACTGCCATTCTTATTTCCTTACCACTCATGATAAGCTGATAAGCTTTCTTAAAACAAGTTTATTAAGTGGACAATTGATTTTACAAATCAAAGCACGCACAGGGCTGCAGTGTTCCAGAGAGAGGTCACCTAGCTATCGGCCAAGAGGCCACTCTGCCTGGAAACACATGCCAGTACTTACAAGAGCAAAATTTTAAAGGCCTGTGGATCTGGGCCTCAGTCCCAGGGACCCTAAAATCTGACTAACTAGTATCGACAGTTATGAATCTTTCCTCACACAGAAAGATGTATAAAACCCAAATGTCAATGTGTTTATTGTGACAATTAAACAGAAAAGCTAGAAATACCCTCGCTCTAAAGGCGGATCAGTTTGGTGCGTAAAATCATGAATGGTCTGGTAATGCCACAAGAAAAATGAAACGCGGAGGAGTTCATTTGAAAAATCAAGAGAAAAAATGAACTTTAGAAGAACCCACTATTCTTGAAAGATAAAAATGAAGACTTGAGCAGAGGGAGAGAGAGATAAAGTTCTTAACAAGGCGCCACTTCTTCAGAAACCACTATACTCATTCACAAACCTTTAAACTGAGGGCCCTGAACCAATACAGCCTTACTGCCCCCTTTTAAGGCAAAAGAAAAATCACTCAATGGTCTCACGGAAATTCTACCTTTTCTAGGTGAACACGAAGAAGAGCCCCGGAATTGCTCTCTAAGTTACTATTGGCCCCCTGAAATATTACAGAGTCCCCCCCAGGGAGGAAGTATCACCCACTTGGAAGACAATGACATAAACTAATGTCAATGAAAAAGGTCACATTTTTCCCTCCCCCTTGAAATGAAAAAAAAAAATTGTTTTATTTACAATTTTTTGGGTCACACCAGTGGTACTCAGACTGCGAGTCTGCGCTCAGAGATTACTCCTGGCAGTGTGAGGGCTGGTATGGGGTGCCAGTGCTGCGGAGCAAGCACTGTCCACTCTACCATCTTTCTGGCTCCCTGGAAACAGTCTCAAATTCATATAGAAAAAAATCGTAAATACTCTGAAAACGAAGTGTGAAGAAGGGGAATAAAGTTCATCAGATAATTTATTTCTCTAGTGGGGGTTTTGGGGTCACCCCCAGCATTGCTCAAGGGTTACTTTCGGCTCTGTGCTCCGAGTGACTGCTGGCAGTGCTGGGGGCCATTGTGCCACTGGGGAATAATGGGTTTGGCTACACTGCTAGGCAAGCACCTTAACCACTCCATTATTCCTCTGGTCCCAGATAAACATACTTTAAGGGCTTAGTGATAAAAACTGAAGACCACTGAACTCAACAAAGCATATGGAATCATCCCCCCAAACAGTTCAAATGGGTGGAAAACTGAGAGGCCCTTGAGAAAAAGTCAACTCTACTTCACACCAAATACAGGAAAAATTCCAAATTAAATCAGAGTTAAATGCAAACAATCAGCAAGAAAATATAGTAAGAGTTTATCTTATAACCTAGAAGATCTTCCTACCCATTATGATTAACTAAGATTTATAAACCCAGTTATTAAAAAAAATCAAAGAATTGTCTATACTGGGAGCCAAGAGATAGTTCAGTGGGTAAGGCACTTGCTATGCACACAGCAAACCCGGGTTCAATTCTATGCATCCCATATGTGGCAGATCCAGGAGTAAACCCTGGTTCTATTCGCTTGTATATGCATTTAAGAAAAAATTTCAAAGATAAGAGACAATGGGATCACTGACACAGAGACAGTAACTGATGGGATGCATAGTTAGAGAGAGCTTAGAGGTCTCACATACTCCATTTTGAAGCATTTTTGGGGTGACTGTGTGATTCTCAGTTAAAAATTAAATACTGAGCTTATTATTCCAACCTAGAGAGGTAGCTCAAAGGGCTGGAGCACCTTCTTGCATGCAGGTGTCTGCAGGGTCCTGCCACACAGCTACGAGCCACCCCGGAGCACTGAGCTCAAAGCAGCCCTCAAGAACTGCTGGGTGTAGTGCAAAAATGGAAGGAAGAAAGGAAGGAGGGAAAGAGAGGAGGGAAGGAGAGGAGAGAAGGAGAGAAGGGAAGGAAAGAGGGAAGGAGGGAAGAAGGAAAAGAAGGAGGGAAGGAGGGAGGGAAGGAGGGAAGGAAGGAGAGAGAGAAGGAGGGAAGAAGGTAGAGAAGGAAGGTTGGTTTTCTGTGATCAATACAGAAGGGATAAGCCAAATGAATCTTAAGAATCTTCCTCAGAGAAGAATTCAGGTAGCTACACCTGAAACAGAACCCACCTGCAATAAATGGCAGCTTCTGGGTCCTTTCCTCATACCCTGGCTCTGGGACTGCGCTAAAATAGACACTGCTGTTATTTATATCACAAAATTTCTTATTTGGTAGCATCTCTTGCTGGCCAACCTCTCTCTTTTGGTGTGTGTTTCAAACTTCTGCATAGAAGGAGCATCAACAGGCCTTCCTGCTGTCCTCCAGGAGCCTCTTACAAGGCTTGGGTTGGTTCTGGAAGCAGAGCTGGGGAGGGTTTTCCCCAGGAGCAGATGAGAGGGGCTCCTGGTTCCCAGACTATGCAAACAAGAAGGCTTCTGCTGACCACGTGCTCCCCGCCTCTGGCCCCAGAGAGAGTGCGGCATTTTGGAATGTGCCATGCAGAAAATGCCTCTGGGACGAGACCCCAGTCCTGGGCCCTGAGTCCTTACCGAGCTTCCCTAGAGGACGTCCCCCCGTCCCGCGTCTTCTCCATCCTGGTTGGGTGACATGCCTCTGTCCTGAATGCAGGGGAGGGGCTCACGGAAGATTGCCCCTGCCTTGCCCTGGCCTGATACTTTTCAGTAGTGAGTATGGTTCTATGCTGGGAACTCTCGAGTCCCCACTGTGACCCGAATCTGGCAGGGCTGGTGGGGAAGGGTGACCTTGGGGATCTTTGACAAATATTTAATAACGACACCTTTTATCAGAGTATACTTTAAATTTTAGACCTAAAGGGCCAGAGAGAGAGTGCAGGGCTTAAGGCACCTGCCTAGCATACAGCAGCCCCGGGTCCAATCCCCAGTGCTATGCGGTCCTCAGAGCCTGTCAGGAGTGATCCCGAGCACAGAGCCAGGAGCAATTCCTGAGCAATGCTGGGCGTGGTCCAAGAATGGGTACCAAATCTCTATGCTTTACAAAATACCAGTGAGATAGATTCAGTTTTTCTTGAAACACAGTAAGCAGGTAAAACGCTTGCTTTGCATGCAGCAGACCCCAGTTCGAATCCCTGGCACCCCCAGCCCTGCCAGCAGCGATCCCTGAGCACAGAACCAAGAATAAACTTGAAATATTGCCAGGTGTGGGTTAAATTTCCCTTGCACGGAATACAAATAAAAATCCACTTTTTCCTTATTATCAACTGACACAATACACAATATTGTCTGATTTTCAAATATTTAACATGACTCAGATCAACCCTTTTGATTCACATCACTAGATATGTTTACTTGTATTTTTCTTTAGAGCTTTCATTTGCATGTGCTTTTCTAGTTTTGTCTCTACTGTTCTTTAGCGTTTACTGAGTGACTGAGTACTTCCTGGTGACTGTCTAAGGCTTCTTAGATCCTGACCTGCACTTGTAGCAATCCTCTAAGACAAGTATTGCCACCCCATCCTACAGAGAATGCAACAAGAGGCTCAGGAATAAGTGAGAACATGCTTGAAGAACACAGAACTATGACTTAAATTGAGTAGGGGACCATTTCCTCCCATTCCTCTGGAACTGTGTATTCCATTCTAAACATTTAAAAATACTTATGAGTAAACCTAGGAAATTTAGACTCTTATGGGAAATGTAAGACAACTCTGAAAATCTTCCTTTATTTCAACCCCAGTGTCTAGGCCTTCCAGATTTCCAATGCTTAGGATAATTTGAATTTCCAATCGGAAATTATGTAACTGAGACTTGAAAACATACAGTCCTTATAAAACAACACACAGTATGCTTTTTTTTTTTAAAGATCTCTTTGCAGCCAGATACTTGCCTTGCTTGTGGCCAGCCCAGAATCAATCCCAGGTTCCCCTAAACACTACCAGGTTCGCCTTGCAGTGTCCCGGCCCCCCTCCCCTGCACCAGTAAAAAAAGATCTCTTTTCTTTAAGAAGCATTCAGTAACCTATGGACGGGGTTCTATTCTGGGCCAAGGAACAGAGTGCCAAGAGAGCCAGAAACAACAGCCACCTGGCACCCTGGAGCTGCCTTAGAAGCAGGTGCATGAGGCAGGTAGAGACCCAAAATAAAGACATTATGTAACATCTTGGCAGGTGACAAGGGCTACATATGGAAACACAGCGCAGGGGACAGCCAGCAGCACAGACTTTCAGATCACACTGCGCTGGAATCCCGGCCAAGCCACACTCGAGCTGCAGGTGGGACCGAAGACGAGTGACTTAGGTGTTCCATGTCCTGTTTCTCTTCTCTGTAACACGGGGACATTGTGGACTTGCAGGAGGATTAAGCGCCCGAATATCTGTAAAGTGCATGGAGTGGTACCATGGTGATGTGTAAAAATTAACTCCTGAAAATCAAGGAAAAATGAAGCAAGAAAGGGCAGAGAAAAAGAGTGGTGGGAAGGTAGGTCTTTTGAAATAAGGCAACGGAAGAGGGAACCAAACATGCAAAGAACGCTGTGGGCATCTCTCCAGGAGGATTTAGAAACCCACCAGGTGGGGGTGAGGACCAGAAGGTGATGGGCGTGCAGGCCAGAACCATGGCTGGGACCCTGAGAAGATCCGGGGAGATGCTCGGTGACAGTGATGGGATCTGACACACAGGCATGCTCCTAGGGGAGCACAGACAGCTAGCCTGGAAGTGATTAAGACCATGTGACACAAGCTGTTGGACTGGGGGGCGTGACGGGGGAGTGGAGCAGGTGAAAGGCTCTGAACATCAATGGGAGTCAAAGGGTTTCTAGAAAGAGGCCGAGTGAGGGAAGGGAGTTGAATGTGAGACCAAGAACTTGGGGGGCTGCTAGAGCAATGGGCTGAGTTGCAGGCCTTGCCTGCAGGAGGCCTGAATTTGACCCTGGTACCACACGGTCCCCTGAGCACCACTGGGGGTAACCCACCACTCCCTATGGTGCTGGGAGTATCTCCCGGACACAACCAGTGTGACGAACAAAAACAATAAATGATGAGCAACTACACAAACACAACCTTTATGACCTGACCTGGTGAAAGCTATGGGTGGAAGAGGGCGAACGCCTCTGTGTGCGGCACGTTTGGGTGGAGAGATAACGAAGAGGCTAAGGCATCTGCCTTGTATGCAGCTGACCCAACTCAATCCCCAGCACCACGGACGCTCCCCCAAGCATGGCCAGGAGTGAGACCTGAGCACAGATACAGGAGTCAACCCTGAGCAGTGCCAGCTGTGACCTAAACCTTTGCTCCACCCAAAATAAGCAGGGAGGAAAGATGAGAGAGGATGGAAGGAAGAAAGAAGGAAGGAAGGGAAGGAGGAAGGGAGGAAGGGAGGATGGGGGGAGGGACTTGTCAAGTGAAAGAGAGAGCAAATGGAATTTACAAGCTAGAATAACAAAAACATGGAAAACGGGCACAAGAGAGCACAGTGACAGGGTGTTTGCCTTGCATTCAGTCGCCCAAGTTTGATCCCTGGCACATATATGGACCCCCAGTACAGAGCCAGGAGTAAGACCTCCGCAAGGCCGGATGTGCCCTGCTCCCCAATCCAGAAACACAGGAAACAAAGGAGAAGTCAGGAGCAGTGAGGCCCTGCTGTGTAAACCATCCAAATTGCAGGGAGGGCCAAGCTAAGGGGGCTGGCACGCATACCTTGCCTGCACAGGGTTCCATCCTTGGCCCTACATGGTCTCCATCTGGGTGTGACCCTGTTCGTCCCCACTAGTGCTGGGGAGAACAGACAGTCCCGGAGGAGGTGATTGGAGTACAGCCAATTATTAAGGGAAAACTGGTGGAGAATTTTCAAGCCATAATGAACAACTGCAACATACCAATTCAATAAATGTACCAAATCCCAACTGGTTACACAGAAAGAAACTAAGCCTACAGATATCACATGTAAGTCATAAAAATCAAGAGATGGTCTTTCCAAGCCAAAAGGAAGCAATGGAACCAGTCAGGCTGACTGGCAGAAGAGTCCTTGCATAACCCTTTATGAAGGTGACAGCTTTAACAGAGTGCAGCAGTCTGCGGCCAGCCAACCGTCAAATATTTTGGGGATGAGGCTGTTTAGATAAATATGTCTGTTCTGACAAATGTGTAAGTCATGTTCACTGGCAAGGGGCCAGCTCTGTCATAAATACTCAAGGGATTTTCTTCTCCCAAAGAAAAGAAAGCAGAACTAAAGCTAGGTTTGCCCAGAATGACTGAGGGAATTTCTTTAACTCTCTGTAGTATTACGGTATTCAGATAAGACCACTTGAACTTGCCTATTTCCAAAAGCATACTTCTGAACATTTTGCTCAATAATGAAATATTCCAACCCAGGGCTTGTAAGATTTTTTTTTTCATTTTCCTGCAAGTTAATAGCGTAAATCCCAATATCCCACTTTAAGGTGTTTCACTACTGGCATTGTTTATGTAATCATTGAAGCACTGCTTCAATTGCCAAAGCCAAGGATTTTCAAGTTAAGATCCCCACTACTCTTTTCAGCATCCAGAGTCATCTGTGTTCATCATCATTATCATCATAAATTAAAAAAAAAAAGTCAAGTGCACCTGAAGCAATCAGTGTTGAGAGGCAATGACATCACTATACCACAGAACCAAAATTTTACTTAAACTACAGTGGCTCAGTGTGCAGGAGGGGAGAAATTGGTAAACCAGAAAATAAAATTTGCCTAGATAAATCTACCTCTAGAAAAAGGAAATTATTCTGAGTTATATAACAAAAATAAACCTCCCACCAGAGATCTTGGAAATCTTGAATTTTTTTTCCTGCAGGAGGATTTATTATTTTCCACTGAGTGTCCAGTCATGCGTTTTCTTCTCGTGTCTATTCATAGCACCAGATCCTGACTAGCATGCACAACCTCAAAAGAAAAGAAAGACTAAATACGAACTGTGTAAAATTAAATGAAATAAAGCAAAAGCAAAAGGCACACATTAAGACTGGTTACCGGGGGTGGGGCCGGAGTGTCTCGCGCGCACGCAAGATCTCCCAGGACTCACCTTATAAGCGACGCTGTTGGATGAGTCCACAATGATAAACAGGGGCTTCCTTGTGAAAGGGTAGAGATCCCCAGGATGGAGGCTGGAAAACCACGACACCACAATGAGAACTTACACAGCGAACGCTTTAGAAATCTTTGTTTGGATCATGGCCACACCTGACAGTGCTCAAAAACTACTCCTGACTTGATGCTCAGGGGACCAAGTGGGGCCAGAAACTGAACCCAAGCCTCCAGCGAGGCACGCAAGTCAGCCCGGAGGGCTCTCTTTCTGCTCTAAGTAATTTTATCCTTCATGAAGTGACGCCCTGCATGTGTGAGGCCCCAAGTTCAATGCTCAGCACTCCAGGGTCCACCAAGCACCCTGGGACTGTATCTACTCAAAAAGAAAGCTAAATCTTATCCTTCAGTCACCTTTACAGCACAGTACTAAGGGAAAACTAAAGAATAATTTAGCAATAGACAAAATGTTTATTATATTTATTGGGAGAGAACTCGGCAGTTTACTTGGAATAATAAATTCATAGACAATTATTATTCGAAAATATTCAAGTTTAAGAGTAATCAATCATAGAATGAAAATCTCAGAAGTCAGTATTGAGGAATTTTCTTACTATCTGCAAGTCCCTTCTTTTATTTTTTTTTGGGGGGGCGGAGAGGGGGTGGTTACTGGGTCATACTGGGCAGTGTTGGGTATACTCTTAGGTTGTAGTTCAGGGACCCATGTGGTGCCAGAAATACAGTATGCAAAGCATGCGATTCCTGCCCTCTGAGTTACCACCTGGCTCTGAAAATCCCTTTGTAAAAACATATTTGGGGATATACAGTGGGTAAGGCCTTGCATGCGGCCAACCCAGGTTCAATCCCTGACTCCTCATATAGTCCTCCAAGCACTGCCAGAAGTGACTCCTGAGTGCAGATTCAGGCGTAAGCCTTAAGTATCACTGGGTGTCATGCCAAAAAGAAAAAAAGAAAAACAAAAGACATGTTTGGGGTCAGGATGTGGTAAAGTTCATACCTGCATGCACAAGGCCCTGATATTTGGGGGGGTGAGAACATGTAAAACAAAAGGAGGTTTGTATTTCAATGAGTTTCAAAATCTATATTTCAATGACCTTAATCTTTCAAATTACATATTAATATTAGAAAAACCGGGGAATAACTCCCAGTTTTGTATTCTTATTTCTGCTAGACATTTGTATCATAATCAGCTAAGGAAAACAATAACTGGTTCAGAAAAAAAAATCTGCATTTGAATCAAAGGCTAAAGTTTGAAACAAACATTTGAGAGTCACTGCTTAGGAATGCTACAATTTTGGTTTGCATGGACTTTTCCCATGGTTTAGTGGATAATGTACTAAGTACGTTACCAGTAGTGTAAATGCAAATATAAACAAAATGATATGTCAATGAGCAGCATCAAATTTCATTATATTTCAAATGCAAGTTTTTCTAATATTAATTATTTATAAATAAGGTCAATGACAACACCAATTTATGACTTGGGGAATAGTTAGCAACTATAACTGTAATCTGAAGCATCTCCTTGTCTACCCTCACTTCCCCATTCTATGCAAAGTACTATTAGAAATGTAGTTACAATTAAGCACAGTAACCTTTATAACCATACTGCTTTCAGCTAAAGAAATTCCAGTCAATAATGGTAAAGCAATGAATGTGCTATTGTAGAAAAATAAATTGTGTTTGTGGATATAGCTCAATGGCAGAGTGCATCATATATATATATATATATATATATATATATGAGGCCCTTAGTTTTATCCCTGGCACTACCCCACATCAGCAAATGCAATCCCAGGCACCATAACAAGTATGATCCCAGCATTGCAAGGAACAAACAAACAGAACAAATTTTCACAAATAGAATCCTATTTAAAAATCACTGACTCATGGGACTGAAAAGACCTGCCTTTCACATGGTTCAATCCCCAGCATCCCATATGATACCCCGAGCACTGCTAAGAGGAATTCTTGAGTGCAGAGCCAGGAGTAATCCCTGAGCACTGCTAGGTGTTATCTCTCCACCACCCCTCCCCCCCGCCAAAAAAAAAATCACTCAATTAGGGCCAGAGATACAGTATAGAAGGCCCTTGCCTTAACTGCAGCTGACCCAGACTTGATTCCTAGCTTCACATAGGGTCCCCTGAGCACTTCCAGGAGTGATCCTTGAGTACAAAGCTAGGAGTAAGTCCTGAGCACCACTTGGTGTAAACCCAAATTATAAAATTAAGTAAGTCAATTATTCACATTTATTTGTGCTATATCAAACAGTAGAACCTTTTACTAGAAAACTGTATTCATGTTACCGCTGAGCATCCCCAGTGTGGCTCCCACACAAAACAAAAACAAAGAACAAAATAAAAAAAAGAAAAAGATTAAACATAAAAATCTGCCAGAATAGTGAGACTCTGAAATTGTTTGGAACTAAAAAAACTGTTATTAATAGTGGTGTGAAAAACATTTCTAATTCTAAAAATACAGTCACTGTTTTTGTTAGTATTTTATGAGATAGCTAAAGCTTTATATTGCGGGAGACCCAGAGTACATACCAGTGCATTTCCTTGTGGGACTGATTTCGTTTGTGGATAGCATCTCCATTGATAATATCCCGGTTACTATTAGTTAGTACCCCTCCAAAATCATAAGGACCTATAAAACCAAAAGGAAGAATCCTAGACTTCAACTGGAGAGTGACATTGATCTGCTGTTCAAATACCCAAGCACTGTGTGATTCTCTCATTGCTACAAATGCAAGTTAAGTGCAAAACATTTTAAATACTTAAAAATTTAACATTTGAATTCAATGCGCTCTTTAAATGATTTCAGTATGTTGCCTGCTTCAACATTTAAAAAAATCATTTAATTATTGGTTAGTTCTTCAAGCAGAGTACCACGAGAAACAAAACAAGCATCACTGTATCCCATTATTCTCGGAGTTAGAAGGGCGAGATACAGGGCTGCATCTCGCTCAGGGAGCACACACACCTTGCATGGGGGAGGCCCTGAGTTCCATCCCCAGCCATGGGAGTGGGTATAGGATAGAATTCTAGAATGTTCAAATAATCTTGACAGTAAGAGCAAAACTGAATTCCCGGGTTTTTTCAGAATTAAGAAAGGTTAGAATAAAACCTTAACACTTTTAACACAATATTAAGTGAATTGCTAGTTGTAAGTTAGAGGGCCTTGTTTTAATAGAACTTGAAAATTCTAATTGGCAATAAAAATTTTGAAACATTTGCTTTTTTTTGCCACAGAGAGCAGTGTTCAGGGCTTACTCCCGGCTCTGCATTCAGGGATTACTCCTTGCAGGCTCAGCAGATCATATGGCATGCTGGGGATTGAACTCAGGTTGGCCGTGTTCAAGGCAAGTGCCCTACCTGCTGTGTTCTCCATTCCTAAATTTTTATTTTTAATGCCAATTTTGTCTGCAAAAATTTCAATACTGTGAATATTATATCAATCTCTATTCTCCTAGTTTTGAATTGACCCCTTTTCTACTGGTCATATCATAACAGCTGAACTCTTGCTCAAATGAAACACCAACTATGAAATGTTCAGAATAATTTCTCATTCAATTAGTAAAACAAGAGTTCAATGTGTAGGCCGAGGCTCAGAAAATCTGATTTTACATATACACTATAAAACAAAAATAACCATAAGTAAAATTATTAACTTTACTTTAAAAAATGAATATAGTTCATGATTTCACCTCACTTTTAATGCTGAGTTATATTTTATCCCTTTAAAGAATCACTACAGAGATAAAATTCTTTGAGACTTGTTTTGTTTTGCTTTGATTTTATATAGTTTCAGAGGATCTGTAGATCATGCAGGGAAGATGGCAGGGACATGCACTGTATAAAGGAATGCAAATTTCAACAAACAGATGAAGAGGAAAATGTGAAGAATAAAATTTTTTGCCCTTAGATAGAATTAACCGTATCTGATGTCTCATCTGCTCTGACCAATTCCACATTATTTTGGACAGTTTTCAGTTTTTATTCTGAAATGGCATCCCAATATTCTACAAGCTGTATCCAGAAAAACCAAATCAATGACAGAAAACGAAACCATGACAAGGACTTGAACTTTCACAGTTACAAAAGTGCACTGATTTCTACAAAGACTTTCAGCCGCGCAAAGCCACTGACCAGATTCCCTAACGTGTTAAAGGGTTAGAAAAAGTCAATGAGGTAATGTAAGTGATTGGCCTTGGTTATTCAATTATCCTTTGCAAATCTGATAGTGAGGCATGTATTTGAGATGTGGATTTACTGATGATTTACATACTTCGACCTACAATATCTCAGCAAATAAAACAGACTGGGTTGTCTGCAAGATTTATTCAATTCTGCCCAATTCAGCAAGTAGACCAGGCTTCAAATTTGGAAGCTTCCCTAGAAAGCTTGAGATGGTCTGTGGGCTGCGGGCCATCGTCTTGTAGAAAATAAAGAGAATTCAAGCCCCGCTCACAACGGGAGCATTCCTTTATTGTACCTTCACTATCAGAACGACCTGTGGGGAAAACGCCAGTGGCTGACAGGTAAATCAGAAGCACACTATTGGCAGGCAGCTCCTGAAATTAAAGAACACAAATACAACACAACAAAGAAAGGAAACAACAGTTTTATTTAAAGGTGGGGATATCTGAATGCAGGGGGTGGGCAGGGGCAATCGGAATTTGTCTTTTCCAAGGAAAGCCATGCTATTATTGCCACTGGTCTGAAGACATTACATTCACTGCTTCTGAAGCCTGATCATTGTGAAACTTGAGAGGGAAAATAAAGTTTCTGAGTACAGGTGTCAGAGATCAAGCCAAGGATGCCGCTCATGGTCACCCCTGGGAGGAAATCCCTATTAATAGATTTTGCTGATGACCAAAACGCTTCTGAGAGCTGCGTGGATACAGAATATGTCTAAGCAACCACCTCCATGTTTTAGCTCTGACAGACTCACACGTCTAATAGAGTTTAGGAATAAAAACCTGCAGAAGGAGAGTAACAGTTTGCCAATACTTTCATTAGTTAATGATAAGGAACACATAAGCAATTTCTTTTTCAAAAATAGCTATGATGACATAGGGAGTGGAGGGGGAAAAAGCCATGAGTAGGCCATTCTAAAGGCCATTTTTGCTTTCTGTGATTTATCTAAACTCTTGACTCAGATATTCAAAGAGAAGCACGGCTCTTCAGGACACACATGCCCCACACAGTACCAAGTCTCACATCACATATACCTTAAAAGAGGCTGCTAAGAATGTGTACAACTGGCTGAAGGTTGGTTTGTAGAGCAGATACTTGTGAGGGTTTTCTCGTCTTGTAGGCTTGTCAGCAGATTCCTACATTTAAACACAGAAGACATTATTCATACAAACTGTATTTGACAGATGAAGTATCATACCTTTTTAATTATTTAATTTTATTTTTTGGTGTCATATTACAGAAATATTTAATTATTTATTCAATAGGTAGAAAATAGTACTTCTGAGTAGGTATTATATATATATATATGTATATGTATTTTTTTATTCAGAAAATCTTTTATGTTATTTTTCTTGTTGAATTTTCAAGTATTTGAGTTTCCCCCATTTCTATCTATGGTTAGTCTCTTTCTCATAGCATCGTGGTCTGAAAGAATAGATATTATTTTTATCATCTTGATTTTATGGAAATGTCTTGTGACTCAAAATGTGGCTTACCTAGAAGAATGTCCCACAATTTTTATTTATTTTTGGGCCACACCTGACTGTGTCCAGGCCTTATTCCTAGTTTTGTGTACAGGGATCACAACTGCCAGGGCTTCAGGAACCATATAGGAAACCCATATTGGCAGTGCTCAAGGCAAGTACCCTGTCCACCGTACTATCTTCTCTAGTCCCTATTTTTTAATTTTTACTTTTTTCTGGGGGTGGGGGGAGACATGGTTAGGCCACACCTGGCCCAGTTCTTACTCCAAGCTGTCAGCACCTATTTTTACTATCTTCTTCATCTATTATCTTTCTTTCTTATTCAGTGTCACTATGATATTTATGTCTCCTGTGTCACATAAAAAAGGAATCTTTATACATACTTGGAACTTTGTTTTTGTTTCTGGGCCACACCAGGCAGTGCTTGGAGCTTACTCCTGTCTCTGTGCTCAGGAACTACTCCTGCAGGTGCTCAGGGGACCATATGGGGTCCCGGGGATTAAACCTGGGTTGGCCACATGCCAGGCAAGTGCCCTACTGGCTGTACTGTCTGGCCCCAAGCAGACACAGTACATTTCCTCTCTCTTTGATTCTCTTTCTCCCTCTCTCTTTCTTTTTTTTTCATTTTGGAGGCACACCTGGAAATTACTCCTGGCTATGCACTCAGGGATCACTCCCGGCAGTGCTTGAGGAACCATGTGGGGTGCTGGGGATTGAAGCCGGGTCAAGTGTATGCAAGGTAAGCACTGTGCCCACTGTTTTACCTCTCCACACTTTGAACATCTGTTGGATAAACAGCATTCCATGAGAAGGGGAAGGAGAAAATGTTACCAAAATTGCAAATGTAGGGAGTCCATCACCTGCATCCCTGGCTTATTCATCTGGGAAGCTAAATTCATTGGCTCCCTTTCCAGGGCTTGTAACATCCGGAACATGTCTACAGTTAGTTCACTGAACTTCACCTGCAAGGAAAAAAACCTGACCGTTAGAGTAGCAGGCTGGAAATTTTCACCCATATCAATCATCATCACTACTTATGGAACTTAGAACACTGGCTATTCCAGGCATGAGCCGGCGGTGACGGGGCAACTGAAACCTCATGGGAAGGGGGACGTTCCCGGCTTGTCCCTCATGTCCTACCGAGGTCACGAGTTGCTCCCCACAAGCGGCTATCCGGCACGGCCATGGCTCCAGAAGCACAAGGACATAATGCAGAGCCCGGCACACTGCAGCAGAAAAGTGAATGGACTATGCGTCAATCCACACTACCATGCCTGCCCAGGAGGGAAAGGGTGTTGCTCCCTTTCGCCTTTTTCCCCCTGGGCAGCAAGATGGTGGCCTCCTTGGAGCTTTTTGGAAAGCCAGGTATGAGCCGGCAGTGACGGAGCAACTGGAACCTCCTGGGAAGGGGAGCATTCCCATCTTGTCCTTCACACCCTACCGAAGTCACGAGTTGCCCCCCACGAGCGGCTCTTCAGCACGGCCATGGCTCCAGAGCCACAGATACCATTCTCGTAATTATCTGGCTCGTGGCAGAAATACCTCCAGACTTAATAAGTAAAATATCAGAAATCCAAGCTCACACGGCCACTATTGTAGCCACGCGACTTCATATGGTTCTCATAACTAACTGTAGAAAACAAATTATTTCACAATGCCTTTTCAGCAGTTCTGATTGTTGGGTGTAAACTGTAAACAATAATGGTGCATCTTTTGTCAAAATAACGTAGTCCAAGTAGATAGAGTGTTAGGTAGAATTCATCTGCCTCACAGGTATTGGGAGGGGTGGCGTGGGGGTATATTGAGGTTCTTGGTGGTGAAAAATAAGTACTGTTGGAGGGAAATGTATTTGATCATTGCATAACTGAGACTTAAACCTGAAAGCTTTGTAACTTTTCCCGCAGTGATTTAATAAATAAATATAAAAATTAATAAATAAAACCACAAAAAAAATAAAAAAGAACACTGGCTGTTCTATCATCCCATACTTTACTATGCAAGATTTCAAAACTTAAAGACTTCTGTGACACCCATGTGTTTAACGTCTCCATTGGAGACTTTGTTGTTACTGTGTTTGGCATATCGAAATCGTCACGGGGAGCTTGCCAGGCTCTGCCGAAGTCCTGTAATATCAACATTTTTCTATAGCTGCTTTATTATTCATCCATTCATCCATCCCTCTATCCTTTTTGCTTTTTGGGTTATGCTCAGGGTTTACTCCTGGCTTTGAACTCAGGTCGGTCGCATGGAAGGCAAATGCCCCTATCCATCCTTCTTTAGATCTATCAATTCTCACTGTAATTGCAAGGGGTCTTTTATGCAATGCAATACTTGCTGCCCCAAACCAGAGAGCTCAGGCCTAGCAATGAGAAACTTCCCTGGCACAATGGTTATAGGGGCCACCAGCCCTACACCTGTGATGTGGGAGGCACACTACGCTGGGATCAGACTCGGGGCTTTGTGCCTCCCAGGATGTGCTTTAGCCATCTGCGCTGTCTTAACGTGATCAAAGAGTCTTCACGTTTCACACATTCCCCACCAGTTACCGCTACACAAGGGAATCAGAAAAGGCCTTCAGACCCACACTTTAGAAGATAATTAAGTGAAACCTCTGAAGGGCTAAAAGTCTACAACTCAACAGCTCGAAAACAAAAGAATAGTGATATTTTAGGCAAATAAAAATGGAAAAATTCATTGCAAGAGATCTGAAAATTTTTTTTTTAATAATGAAAAGAGCACAGATATAGCTCATGGTTGAGGACATGCTCTGCATTTGTGAGACCTTGGGTCTGATCCCCAGCACCTCAGAAAAAATGCAAGAAAGAAAGGAAGAAAGAAAAATACTAACACAGAAATCAAATGATGGCAAATGCAAACACAAAATGCAAAAAAATACTTAAAAAAAGAATTCAGATGAGAGCACGTTTTCTATAGTATAAAATACAGAGAATTAAAAAGCGAAACATAATAATTTTGTTTTACTTTGTTTTAAACAGGGCCTACTCTTGGATGTGCTTTCAGGGATCACTCCTGGCCATCCTCAGGGGACATTAAGTCACAGCAGGACGAACTAGGGTTGAGCATGACAAGCAAGGCTAGTGCTTACCCCCGTGCTATCTCTCTGACCCCTCAGAGTGAATTTGAAACATAACTCCTTCACAATTCTTTACCTGGTTGTTACAATTACCAATAATGAGTGCATCGGCCAGAGACAACTGTCCCACAATCATGCCCTGTTCCAGCAACGGGGCTCCTGTCTCGGCGAGGCGATTTGATGTGATGACAATAGTATTATCATCATTTAATACCATTACAGGATCAGCCTGGAGGAAAAATAGAAATTAACTGATAGCCAAGACAGAATATCAATATAAGCTATTCTTTCTTCTTATCCAGCCAGTAAAAATGTAACCCACATTGGCATTTACTTTTTTTTTGGGCAGGGGATTGGGGGGGGAGTTTGGGCCACACTTGGTGATGTTGAGAGGTTACTCCTGGCTTCTGAACTTAGGAATTCCTCCTGAGGTACTGGGGGACCATATGAGATTCTGGGTCTCAAGCCTGGGTTGGCTGTGTGCAAGGCAAAGTGCCTTACCTGCTGTATCATTCTGGCCCTGCATTTACTTAATTATGACCTTTCTTATCAAAAACTGACCTCAATGAAAGCTGCTACTTCTTGAAGCACCAGGTTCCATTCCACTTGATCTTCAGTATTGAAACGGTGAGTATAATCCTCAATTTCATCTGACAATTCCTGATTCAAAAAATCACAAAGGAAAATGATTATACTAAGAAAAATAAGATTATTGTTTTTTTTACCATATTCTTAAGGGAAACCTAGAGGGATAAAAAGCTTGAGTATCATCACTATACAGTCCCAACAATAGCCAAAAATAGACTAAAAACTATAAGTGACTTTCAAATACAAAGTATAGGATACACATTAGTAAGATCTTCTGAGATTCCACTACCTACTCAGTGTTCATCAGTAAGTTTGTGAAAGCAAACCCTAAATTTTTAACATTTACACTAAAAGAATATTTTTCAGTTGATTCTCTTCGGATTTGCATCACAAGGTTTTTTTTTCTCCCTTTTTGGGTCACACCGGCAATCTCAGAGGCTACTCCTGGCTCTGCACTCAAGAAGTACTCCTGGCAATGCTCAGGGGACCATGTCAGGTGCTGGGGATCAAACCCAGATTGGCTGCGTACAAGGCAAATGCCCTACTCATTGTACTATCGCTCTGGCCGCTTACATCAGTTTTTTTGTTGGATTAATAATAAGACATAGGAAAGAGAGAGAACTTGCCAAAATTATCACAATATAACTGAGTACCAAAAATAAACAAGGATGAAACCATTTACTGAATAGCGTGCAAGCAGAATGTAGAATGTAAGAATTATAGATACTGAGTGGATGTAAATGCAGATTATTCTTAGCTAGCTGAGTTAACAAAGGATTGAGTGATGCAGCCAGGCCCCGAGATGGAAAAACCAAAACACAGAAATATGAAGCATGAGCTCTTCCACTGAACACATTCACAGTTCTTTTTCTTTCTTTCTTTCTTTCTTTCTTTTTTTGGCTCTTGGGTTACACGCAGCAATGCTCAAGGCTTACTCCTGGCTCTGCACTCAGAAATTATTCCTGGCGGTGCTTGGGGGACACTATGGGATGCTGGGGATTGAACCTGGGTCAGCTGCATGCAAGGCAAATGCCCTACTCGCTGTACTATCGCTCTGGCCCACATTCACAGTTCTTGAACTGAAACTTTTGTTGCTGTTATTTTGGGGCGACACCAGGTGGTACTCAGAGACTGCTCAGGATCACTCCCAGGAGTACCACCCACACATGAAGCATGTAATCAGCTCTGTTAACTAACTCTCCAATCCTACATCTTTCTCTCTTTTTCTTTCTCCCTCCCTCCCTCCCTCCCCCCTCCCTCTCTCCCCCCCCTTACACACACACACACACACACACACACACACACACACACACACACACGGCAACGCATAGGGGCTACTCCTGGCTCTGGATTCTGTGCTCTCGGGGGACCAAATGGAATGCCGGGAATTGAACCTGCGTTGGCCGCATGCAAGGCAAACGCCCTACCCACTGTACTCTGACTCTGGTCCCTATCTGCCATTTCTAATCATCATCCACTGATAGGTGGTACAAGGTAAAACATGATACAGGTAAGTATCTCTCACTGGTGAACAACTGAGGGAGAAAACAGAAGGATCTTTTATCAATACACTCAGAAGTTACCATATTTTGAATGTTGTCATAATTTGGTTATAGCAAAAATTATTAAAAACTTTCAATTATGTCTTTCAAAAACAATCAACTTATTGATTTTTTATTTTTGGTTTGGGGGGTCACAATCAGTGGTGCTCAGGACTTACTCCTGGCTCTGCACTCAGGGATCACTCCAGACAGGGCTCAGGGGACCCTACGGGGTGCCACAGATTGAACCAGGATCTGCAATATGCAAGGAAAGTGACTTAACCAGCTGTACCATTGCTCCAGGCTCCTTTAACTTACTGAGGTAAAGTTAGTTTCTCAGAGTGCAAATGTTGAACAAAATGAGTCAGAGGGAGAGGGACAGACACAGAATGACTGCACTCATTTGCAGGATGAAACAAAAACAAAAAACATAGTACGTGAATAATTCCCAAAGACAGTAGGAACAAGGACCCGGAGGACTGGTCCATGGTAGGAAGACTGCCACAAAGGGGACAGAGGGGAGGGGGGAGGGCGGTTAGGACAGAGGAGGAAGCACCATGACAATGACAGCTGAAAATGACAAAAACTCTGGACAAAAACTGAGTGCTGAATGGAGGTAAAAGTGATATGCATGATGCCCCTTTTGTAACAGTACTGCAAAACACACTGTCTAAAAGGAAAATGAGAGTGGGGGGAGGGAGAGGAAGGGAAAGTGTCTACCACAGAGAGGCAGGCTGTCTAGGGAGGGTGGGCAGGAAACTGGGGTCAGTGGTGGTGGGAAATGTGCATTGGTGAAGGGACAGGTGTTTGAACATTCTATGACTCAAATTCAATCATGAACAACTTTGTAACTGTGTATCTCACTGTGATTCAATTTTTTAAAAAATGGGGAAAATGTTTCTATTTGGGGGATTCAATGTTACCACTTAATCTATTAAAAGGACAAATAAAAGAACAAATAAAGAGGCTGGAGCGATAGTATAGGGGGCAGGGCATTTGCCTTGCACGAGTCTGACCCGGGTTCGATTCCCAGCATCCCATATGGTCCCTTGAGCACCGCCAGGAATAATCCCTGAGTGCAAAGCCAGGAGTAACCCCTGTGCATCACCGGGTATGACCTAAAAAGAAAGAAAAAAAGAATAAATAAAATCAATTAAAAGGACAAATTTAATAACAGGAGCCAGAGATGCAGCTCCCTTGCATGTGCAAGGTCCTGGGATTAATCACCAGCACAGGCTGGGGGGGGGGGGGGTGTCAGGAGAATCTCTACACAATTACATATAAGAACTTTAACTGTTTTACAGTGCGTTTACCTTTACCAGATCCTTCACAACATCCATTTTGTTGAGAAGAAGACAAACTACTATAAATCTTGCGTAGTATCGTAGTTTCTTGACTACTAACTCAGGTCTATAGTAGATAAAAGAAGAAAAAAAACATCATTCAGAAGAAAATATGCCTTTTAATATTTCCAACTTTCTAATAGCCTTGAAACCCATTTAGTCTTATTTCGCACTTACAAAGATCTCTGCTGATTCACTATACTGCTCATGTAGCGAAAGTATGATCTGAAAAATACCTATTGCACAGGAAGACTAGGCATCAGGCAGATGCTAAGTGTTAGAAGTACCATAATTAAAAAAAGAAAAAAAAACTCAGACCAAAGTTCAACAGACCGAGTGCATGCTGGAGATATGGGTTCAAGTCCCAGCAAGACATGGTCCTCTCAGCCAGAAGTGACCTGCAGTCACCCCACTGAATGCTAATGGGTGTGGTCCCCAAACAATTAAAAATATTATTATAAAGGCTTATTTCATAAATGATAAAAGGCAACTTATTTTGTTAAAAAATAACAAAATCCAAGATTTTTTCATATTCAATGCAGCATAATAATAAATCAGGAAGTGGCATACGTAGGAAAAGGAATTAATAAATGGTTTAATATATACAAATCTTTAATAAACTGTATTTAATAATCTATATGCAAAAAAAGCAAAAAGATTTAAAAAAATTCGGGAGCAGAAATGCTCCTTTAATGGGCATTAAACCACATATAACAAAAACAAAAACATTACTTTCAAGCTTATATGAAATGAACATTCAATTTTATCTAGCTAATTCTGCTCATTAGACATGGCGCTGAGCTCCAAGCCACCCACATGCCAGGGAGAGACTCTTGCCCAGCCCCTGCGGGAGCGGCCCGGGGCCCAGGCTGGGCACTGGGGACTGTTTCGGGGAGAGGAGTAGCGTGGCAGGGAAGAGAGCAAAGATGGGGGGAGGTAAGGAAGAGGGCCCGGGCCACCGGCCCCCAGATGCTGGGGACTGGAATCTGAATTTCTTCTTGCCATAAGCTGGGTTCCAAGGAGTGGATGCCTTTGGGGAGAGCTGCTCAGGGAAAACAGGGCAAAGTTTCTTTGGAAATTTGTTTGTTTCAGTCACACCCAGCGTTGCTCAGGGCTTACTCCTGGCTCTGCACTCAGAGATCATTCCTGTCACTTCCCCAGGGTGTTGGGGCACAAATTTAGGTTGGCCCCATGCAAAGCAAGCCCCCTACTGGTTGTACTATCATTCTGAGTCCCTGGATTAGGTAATTAAGGCCATGCATGAGGCCCTGAGTTTGCTCCCCGGCACCACTAAATATAAGCTTGGTGATCCTGAGCACTGCCGGCTGTAGTTCTGGTGGCCGGGAGCACTGCAGAGGTGAGCCTGGTGGCTTCAAGCACCAGGAGGCCCAAGCAGAACTGAGACCTGAACAACTGGGCCCATGAGAGCTGAACACGACCCACAAGTGCCCAAGGCAGTACTTGGGATCACTGCCCATCTCCCAAAAATTTAAATGCAAGAAGTATTCCAAGGGGGCTGGACCGATAGCACAGTGGGTAAGGCATTTGCCTTGCATGCGGCCAACCCGGGTTCAATTCCCAGCATCCCATATGGTCCCCCGAGTGCCACTAGGTGTAATTCCTGAGTGCATTTGCCTTGCACGTGGCCAACATGGCCAACCCGGGTTCGATTTCCTCTGCCCCTCTTGGAGAGTCCGGCAAGCTACCAAGAGTATCTCGCCCACACGGCAAAGCCTGGCAAGCTACCCGTGATGTATTCCATATGCTAAAAACAGTAACAACAAGTCTCACAATTTGTTGTGAGATGTTACTGGTGTCCGCTCAAGCAAATCGATGAACAACGGGAGGACAGTGCTACAGTGCATGAGCCAGGAGCAACCCCTGTGCATTGCTGGGTGTGACCCAAAAAGAAAAAAAAAAGCAAGTATTCTAAGCTCCCCAGCTTGGGTAGAAAAAATGACCACAGCTTGCTGACCACACATCCAAAACCCACGTGGAAGTGGCCAACTGAATTCTGCTCTGTGAACCACCAGGCTGAACTGCAGCAAAACAAAGGTGAAATGAATCAGTGCTGCTCACTGACACCGAAGGGCAGCCAGCCCGGCCTCTAGCCGCTCCGCATCCTACTGCAGAAGGAGGAGGCTCCCGCAAGGGTCCCCAAACCAAGAAAGTGCCCAAGTTTTCAAGTCCAGATTCACCTTCCCCACCATCACCACCTTTATGAAAGCTGACCCCTGGATGCTTCTGACAAAGTTCTTTGGGCACCCGGAAGGGCAGCCTCGCCCACCTGTCTGGCACCATGTCACCTGTGAGACATGGGCTCTTAGACAAGAGACACTTCATCCAGGTGCCTAATTACATCTGCCCCTGGCTCATGTGCATATTATTAGTCATTTGCAACAAGCAAGGCTCTCATCTCCTAGCGGCTGTGATTATGCGACAGCAACTCTCAGAAGCAGAAAGGGCCCCGGGAAGGAGAGGTTCTGCGGACGAGGCTTCCCGACACACAGGCCACCAGGGACGGCTGGCGGGTACTGATCCTGCTTAGATACAATCTCAGGCACTGAGACAGCTCAGAAAGCACTTGCCCCGTGGAAGAGATTTCTGCCTTTTGAAGCAGCTATGAAATTTGTAGAATATTTTCTTGTTTTTTCATCTATAGGCAACAAATGACTTACCAGCTGCACCAAGTCTTTCCTGAGACCCAGAGAAGGGCCAGAGCTTACACAGTGCTGTCTTTGCTTCTTACTAAACTGTTGGGTTTTGAGGCTATACCCAACAGTGCTCAGGAGCTACTCCCAGCTCAGTGACTGGAGAAACCTGTTGGGCCAGGGACAGGATCTGGGCTTCCTACATGCAAAGCTCAGGCTCCAGCTGATGAGCGATATCTGTCTTTGATTCCAATTTAGTGGCTTTAGGCAAGAGAGTTTATTATCCTGGTTCCCACTAATCCTGCTCTGTTCATCTCTCCTGCTGGAGGAGGCAGCACAGGAAAAGGATTCACAAGTGCTGTCTGCTTATAGGAAATGATAGGAAATGACTGGAGCTCAGCTAACAGTCAGGTTTTAAGTCAAGGGGTCCAAGGTCAACTTCCTTTTGGCAAATTAGATAATGTAAAGAACTGTATTATCCAAGGTATCCTACTATTGCTTTAAAATAGTTCTCTCCTTACAGATATTTTTTCACAGCAGCAAGATATTGATAGACTATTTGCACTTGTTTGGGCGCCATACCTGGTGGTGCTCAGGGCTACTCCCAATTTGCTGCTCCAATTCCTACCAGCAGTGCTCAGGAAACTGTATCAAGGATGCAGCCCCGGGTTCCAGTGTGCACTCAGTGTGCCGAGTCATCTCCCCAAGGCTCCAAAAGCATCAACTGCATTTCATGGTCACAGTCACGGTCCTCCCGTTGTTCATCGATTTGCTCGAGTGGGCCCAGTAACGTCTCTATCATGAGACTTGTTGTTACTGTGTTTGGCATATCGAGTACGTCACGGGGAGCTTGCCAGGCTCTGCTGTGTGGGTGAGATACTCTGGGTAGCTTGCCGGGCTCTCCGAGAGGGGCGGAGGAATCGAACTCGAGTCGGCCATGTTTTAGAGATGCAATTTATCTCACAAAAATTTGGATTGATTGTACAATATAAAGACACACATAAAATAAAGATTTGGAGGAAATCAATCTGTAGTGAAAATAAGTGAAGCAAACCATAAAATATCTGAGGTTTGAAAAGGAGCCAAGATGGGGCTGGAGCAATAGTACAGCGGGGAGGGCATTTGCCTTGCACATGGCCAACCGGGGTTCGATCCCCAGCATCTCATATGGTCCCCCAAGCACTGCCAGGAGTAATTCCTGAGTTTGCGCTAGGAGTAACCACTATGCATTGCCAGGTGTGACCGAAGAAAGAAAGAAAGAAAGAAAGAAAGAAAGAAAGAAAGAAAGAAAGGAAGGGAGCCAAGAGATCTTCTGATAGAATAAGGTAAAGGTAAAAGGTAAAGGCCCTCCCGTTGATCGTCGATTTGCTCGAGCGGGCCCAGTAACGTCTCCATTGGAGACTTTGTTGTTACTGTGTCTGGCATATCAAATACTCTCGGTAGCTTGCCGGGCTCTCCGAGAGGGGCGGAGGAATCGAACTCGGGTCGGCCATGTTGGCTGCGTGTGTAAGGCAAACGCCCTACCCGCTGTGCTATCGCTCAGGGAACTGCTTAAAGACATTGGAGAGAAACGTGGCATTCAGCATCTATCCCCCTTGGATCAAGCAAACTCCTCTAGAGAAGTCTGAACAAAATCTTTCAGGGAATAAAAGGGGTTTTGTAGGAATGGGGTTTTCCTCCAAAATGACACGGTTCAGCTGAGAAGCGTATGACAGCCAACAACAGAAACTCTAAAAAACATCTTAAAACTACGAGTTCCTCTGCTGCTAAGAGAATATCATCTTTTCACTCTACCAACTGTGAGTTCTGTTGTTGGGAATAGACAGAACATTCGGATCTTCTACGCCTGAGCTTAATCTCCTAATAATTCTTAGAATGTTAGCACTAAAGATTCTTCAACAGCAGCTCACTGATTTCTTCAGCCATCGCATCACTATCTGGAATCAGTGACACCACCATCTACCTGTAACCCATGTCAGTAACTCTCAGATAAGATAACCCTCTAAAAATTTTTAAGTACAACGTTTTCTTTTCTATTTTCTTCTTCCCAAACACCTACCAGAATGCCAAATATACAAATGCTCAACAGATGCTGACTGAGAATGAATTCTATATGGCTTTTCCACCAATAACAGGAGCTGCATAGCTGAGAAACAGAACTGGAATTTTTTTTTTTAATTCTAACAGTTTTAGTAGCCTTTTCTTTAGTCCCACAGGAAAGCTGCTCATAGTTTTTAATGTATGTAAATTAAAATTACACAAGCTAAAAAGAACAAAGATTCCCAGCTAAACTTTGCTTTAAAGTTCTTCCTTTTCTAAGAAACTCTGTGTGACCCCATTCTCTCTTAAACAAATAATCCATCTTCAGTGGTCTGATACTGCCTTGTTATTGTCATGTCAGTTACAACCTTCATAATATTTGCTTTTAGGAAATGTACATCTGTTTGCTTTAGAATGCCAAGTAGCACTGTCCTCCCATTGTTCATCGATTTGCTCCAGCGAGCACCAGTAATGTCTCCATTGTGAGACTTGTTACTGTTTTTGGCATATTCGAATATGCCACGGGGAGCTTGCCAGGCTCTGCAGTGCGGGCGGGATAGTCTCATTAGCTTGCCGAGCTCTTGAGAGGGATGAAGGAATCAAACCCAGGTTGGCCATGAGCAAGGCAAACGCCCTACCCATTGTGCTGCAGGTACACAATAAAGCCCATTAAGAAATGGAAGTTATAAGCACAGAAGTTATAAATGTTACTTTTCTGCACATTTTCTGCGCACACTGAAATATTTGAGTGTTTGAGTTTTCTCTTTCTAAAATTATGATACATACCTGTCCTCCTTATTGACTTGGGAATAATATGACCTCTGTCTGATTGCGGAATAGAATGAGAACGCCTCATTCAGGTAGCTGGTCTCAGATGTGCGTAGGCTATGAGGAAAAAATATCTTTAAAGTTGACAGTGTCTCAAATTCTTCTCCATGATAAAAACTCACACCATCACTCGCTACTCTTATACATAAAGGGGTGGGAGTTTCCTATATTTTATTCAGCAAGACAAAAACTATCACCCTTAAAATGTGTGGAAAAAACAATAATGATCAAGCTGTTTTAAAGGGGAAAAAACCTCCCCACAGCTCCTGGTTCTTTTTTACTTATTTTTTTGATGGCATTGCTAAGGGCACATTATTTTCACACTTGAAAGGGGCTTTCCAAGCAGTGCCCCCCTAGTCTCCTACTGGGTCAGACCTTCCACAGCCTTCTCCAGTTCACAGAGTCAATTATCCTTGGGCTCATTTCTTTACTAGTGTCTTCCCACAGGATTCAGAAACAGACTAAACTTCAGAGAATTTTAATCTCTGCTTAATCATTTCTACAAGGGACTCAGTAATAAAGTTACTTGAGGGGGTCAGAGCTATAGTTTAGCAGGCAGACACTTGTCTTGCATGCAGCTGACCCAGCCTCGATCCATGGCACCCTACAGAGTCCCCTGAGCCCCGCAAGAAGTGACTCCTGAGTACAGAGTCAGAAGTAAGCCCGGAGTACCACCAGATATGACCCCAAAAGAAAACAGATAAAAAAGAATTCAAAACAAAACAAAAAGAGTCAGACTGTAGTGGTGGGAACTTGGGGTGAGTGACCTGTTAAAAGACATGAAGAGGAAGGAATTTCTCACCTTCTAAATGACAAAAGCCCGGGGCCTACTTCATGATACAAGATTTGGATTCCTAAAAGGAGCTTCTTCATACCTTGGCTCTTCAGTAGGATTTTATAGATGTTACTGCTCTAAGAATATAATCAAAACTATCTTTACCTACTGTAAGCACGAGCTACTTTGTTTTATTTATTTATTTATGGTGCTAAGGATTGAACCTGGGGTCCTCACACTTGCAAAGCAAGTGCTCTATAGCTGAGCGACATCCCTGGTTCTAGGCTATGAATTTTATTTATTTCTGATTTGGGGGCCTCACTGGGCAATACTCAGAGCTTACTCCTGGCTCTGTGCTCAGGGATCACTGCTGGCAGGGCTTGGAGGGTCCTACTGGATGCTGGAGATTGGAGCCAGGTCGGCTGCATGCAAGGCAAGCACTCTCCTTGCTGTTCTATCTCTTGACCTTACGAGTTTCAAAGCATTAAAAAAAAACCCTCCTGAAAACCACTCATTCAAACTATGATATGCCTCTGCAGAGTATCAAGATTTAAGTGAAGCCACAAGAACTTTAAATTCATTTAGTATTTACCATTTATTTAAAACCAAGATCACACTTCTTTATAAATGAGTCTTAGAGTAAATGAGTCTGACAAAATGAAGTACTTGGAAAGTAAGCCTTTGAAACAAATGGTGTGACTTTGACTATGAGAGGTCATTTCATGGGGCTGTCTTGATCAATATGATCTAGACTCTGAGGGTATCATTTATAATGAATCAGCATCACCCTCCAAGCAGGTAAGTACACTGTGCATAATTCAAAAGGCTATATATGTCAGGAAAACATTTTACTTTTTCTCCATATGTAATTCACTTACTAATAATGGTAGTATAGCTGCCCAATCTTAGAAGCAATTTCCCCTATTTGCCACCGCTTCAAGCCATATCGATTATCCAAGACTTGTCTGTTTTACACAAGAAATAAGAAAACAGAAATGAGACTATGCATTTCTAAAATACTCAATTATATACATTTCAAAGACAAAAATGCAACTCAGTTCGGTAAGGTTAACAAGGTTTTTTAAACGTTTCCAGCAAAACCATTCAATCACATTTAAAAAGCATTTCTTTTTGTGTTTGTTTTTGCTTTTTGGGTCACACCTGGCAATGCACAGGGGTTACTCCTGGCTCTGCCCTCAGGAATTACTCCTGGTGGTGCTCGGGGGACCATATGGGATGCTGGGAATCGAACCCCAGTCAGCCGCGTGCAAGGCAAACGCCCTGCCCACTGTGCTATCGCTCCACCCCTAAAAAGCATTTTTTACAAAAAAACAAAAGCATTTCTTACATATGTATTTAAAAATAAAAGTAAACAGAAACTTGTGTGCGAATATTAAAAGCAACACCCCCTAAACAGCTTTGGCCATTAAACAGTATTATTGACCTGACTGATTTCAATGCCCAGCATCAAGCCTCAGGCTTCATGCATGTAAGGTGGGACCTTCACCACTGAGCAACATTGAGCAAGAATAAGGGCACCAATGGCATACTTCATCCAAACCATTTCAGAGGTTGTCTTTAAAAAGCAGATGAGAGCATCACAGTTAAAAACATACTGGGCCTGGGAGACGGCTCAAAGCGCCAGAGTACAAGCTTCGCATGTGGGAGGCCTGGGTTCAGGCCTGGCACTTCATGAACCCCTGAGCACCATCAGGAGTGGCCCAAAAGTGCTGCCAATTGTGGCCCAAAAGTTAAATGAGAGTGAGAATGTAACTCAGTGGTAGAATATATGCTTTTTTTGTGTACCAGGTTCCTTGTGTAATCCCTGGCACCATCAAACAGAAACATCACATTTCCAACCCTTAAGTAACAGGGTAAGAAATTCATTGGAGGGGGTGGGGGACGTGGTGTCACAAAAATAAACATGAAAAAGTACCAAAACATTAAAAGTTCTGAGGTAGAAAAGGTCCAACTGTGACTAATATCAAATGGGCCTTCAATCTCTTTAATGGTAAAATCCCTTTACCGATGCTGCTGCTGGAACTTCCAGAGTTTGGTGTAAACATCAAAAGTTCTTCCAAAATAGGACTGCCACTGCTTCTGCCCATATTGTGGCAAATCCCTGAAATAAAAAAAATAAACATGCATGAATTTTAATTTGCTTAGTGTTTTTGAAGTCATCGTGATGGTACAAACTGGATAGATGAAAAACACTTGCATTCAGGCTTTTTCTTTCTTTTTTGAAAAACAGAGTCAGTTTTTAGAACAGGAATAGTTCTATAAGAAGGATGCAGAGTAATTCTGCTGGATGCTTCTCCTCGCTCTGGAGCTCCTTTTCCCGGGTTTTGCCTGTTCTGGTTTGGGTTTCGGGGCCATGGTCAGTGCTGTCAAGGGCCGTGGGATGCTGGAGATCGGGCTGGGGCTCCTGCCTGGGGAGTGTGTGCTGCAGCCCGCCGCCGCTCTGCGCCCCGCAGCTGATTCTACGCTGCTTTGGTAATTCCAGCTCTTCCTTCCCTCTCCTGATCTTATTTGTTCTTAAATACCAGTTGCTTCCCAATGTTGACCTTCAGCTAAGGACCCGGAGAGCTGAAAAACACTGCTTTAAAGAAACATCTAGAAGTGCAGATGGCATAACTGTGCTCCATCCCCTGTATGTAAGAGAAACTATATAGTTCTGCCCTTGGGCCTGTGACTTAACAGTATGTCCCTTGAGACAAATACTTTCCAACCAGAGGGACACTGGACCTGGCCATTTAACTTGTTCTGGTCAAGGAGATTTAATTGTAAATTATCTACACGGAGTCAGAGATTTAAAAAATTTTTTTTTTATTGAATGACCATGAGATACACAGTTACAATGTTGTTTATGATTGAGTTTCAGTCATACAATGTTCTAAAACCCATCCCTTTTCCAGTGCATATTTCCCACCACCATGGGAACAATACTTAAAAGAGATTATATTTTCACTTTTTCTTCTTATGTAAGATCAAGACAGAGATGCTTCTCAGTCTAGAACACAGACAAGAGTGGAGACTTGGAACAGATGACAACTTGGAAGTATATGAGAGCTAGAAATAAATCTTTATTATAATAAGGCACTAAAATTCTGGAGTTGTGGCAGCAACCTTACATGGGTAAGGCCAGTACAGGAACTGCAAGCCAGAGAGGGTATTCACTGCAATAAAGATGTAACCTATGACAGCAGCCTTGGATTGAGTAGCTCTTACTGAAGGTGGGGAAATGATGCCATCATATCATAAATATGGTGGTAAAATGGCAGTTGCTCATAATAACTTGAAAAGCAGATAATGTGACTAATAAGCTTCTGACTACAAAGAAGCCAGGAAACAGTGTTACTAGCTCTGGAGGTTATTTGCTGCACTTAATAAAATAGCGCAGCAAAGAGATGAATTCACCAAAGAACTCACTGCAAGTAGGGCTGAAAAGGAAAAGAGAAAATCCACAAGCCCCATATCTTCCAGGAGAGAAACACTGAGAAATGTTGGCTGCAAAGGCCACTTAACAGAGTTCATCCACAGAGCCAAAGCTCTTAGTAGAAGTCTGTAAAAGGAAGGGGTCCCAAAGCATACACTGATTGGGGCAAATCAAGTGGGCGTGGGGTGGCAAAATGTAAGGGTCGGACGGGTTGCTGGGAGTTTGATCATTCAAGGTGTCCGTGAGAAAGTCTAGAAGAGACTGAGTATAACTAACTTGAATCAAAAAGGTAGCGTCAATAAATCTTGTGAGAGTTCCATGTCAACAATCATTAGTTTTAGAAAGGAAAAATAATCACTCATTGATTATCTATCTCTTCATTCTTATTGATTGGGTTTGTTTGTTCATGAGCTCAGACACAGCAAAAGGAAAAAACAATCACTGGATTCTCAAGGTGGGGATAAAGAAATGCTAGTCCCGCCTGTAAAGATTAGATTTACAGGCACAAGTTGAAATAAAGGACAGAGAGATGATCTAGAAGACAGTTCCTGAAAATACTAAGTCCAGTCACTTACATAACAGAGAGGATAAAGCAGGAGGACAGAACACACATAAAGGGGACTACCAAGGAAGAACCAACACAAAAGAGTCATAGAAACAAGACAAGAAAGAAATGAAGGGTATTTTCAAAGCGGGGAATGTTGCACACTTGACCAGGGTTCAATCTCTACCACATATGATCTCCTGAGCATCCCTGAGTGTGGAGCCAGGAGTCAGCCCTGAGCACAGCCTGGTGCCCCCCCCCCCATGCCTATTACCACATCCTCACACACACCCCCCAAAATAGAGAGAAGAATGTGTTGTTCTGAAATCGGGAGGGGAAGGGAGGGAAGGAAAGGGGAGAGCAGGGGGAGTGGAGGGGAGTGGAGGGGAGTGGAGGGGAGGGGAGGGGAAGGGGGGAGGGGAGGGCAGGGGAGGGGAGGAGAGGAGAGGAGCGGGGAGGAGAGGAGAGGAGAGGAGAGGAGAGGAGAGGAGAGGAGAGGAGAGGAGAGGAGAGGAGAGGAGAGGAGAGGAGAGGAGAGGAGAGGTGAGGAGGTGAGGCAGGGAGAGGTGGGGGAAAGAAAAAAAGGGAAGAAAGGAAGAGAAAGAAAGGAAAGGAAAGGAAGAGAGAGAGAAAGAAAGAAAGAAAGAAAGAAAGAAAGAAAGAAAGAAAGAAAGAAAGGAAGGAAGGAAGAAAGAAAGGAAGGAAGGAAGGAAGAGAGAGAGAAGTGGGGCAGGGTCAAGAGTGAAGTACAGTGGGTAGGGCACTTGCCTTGCATGTGGCCCACCTGGGTTCTATCCTCAGCACCCCATATAGTCCCCAGAGCTCTCCTGGACTAATTCTTGAGTGCAGGCCAGGGTAACCTTGAATAACACTGCTCTGGCCCCAAAGCAGAAAACAAAAAAGGGGAAGTGGGAAGAAAAAGAGGGAGAGAGAGAAAGTAGAGCTGTAATATAATGTTGATGACCCCTGAGCACTGCGAGATACAGCCATTTTCACCTCTAACATCAACAGCGTCAAATGTTCTACCTATGTTTTCCTCAGAGGAATTGTAGATCCAGATCTTTAACTCATTTTTCTGTGACTTTTAGGCATGAGGTTACAGAGAGGTCTGAGCTCATTCATTTGCACGTGAGACCAATTTTTCCAAAACTATTTGTTAAAGGGGCTTTATTTGCTTCACTTCATACTTTTCCATACTTTGTCAAAGACTGAATGTCCATATAATACCCACATGACCTGTCTCTGGACTCTACTCTATTCCACTGTTCTGAGGGCTTGTTCTTATTCCAGTTCCACCCCAACATCTTTTTGGGGGTGGGGTGGGGTGTGCACATCCAACTGTTCTCAAGGCTTACTCCTGGCTCTGAACTCAGGAATAACTCCTGGTGGGCTCAAGGGACCGTATGTGGTACCAGGGATCAAACCCAGGTCAGCCACATGCAAGGCAAGAGCTTTACCTGTTGTACTAACTCTCTAGCCTGCCACACTGTTTTTGATGACTGCTGCTTTATAGAATGGTTTGAAATTGGGGTGAAAGAGGCCTTCTGTCTTCTTTTTCCTAGAATTGCTAGGGTTTTTTTTTCATTCCATACAGCATTTGATCTATGTCTTAACCGTCACAGGTATTTAAAAAGGTACTGCACGGAGTATGTATAATGCTTTGGACAAATTTGCCATTTTGACAACATTGATCCTTCCAATTCATGAACAACAAAAAGGGAGGGAATTAAGAGATGGGAACGGGGGCTGGGGAGGAGAGAAGAAGGAAGAGGGAAGAGGGAGAAGGAAGAAGGAGGGAGAAGGAGGAAGGAGACAGGAGGATGGAGTAGGAAGAGGAAGAGGAAGGTGGAGGAAAAGGAGGAAGCAGCAGCAGCTGTAAAAGAATACCCTCATACTGATATGCATGGCCATTTCTCCAAAGAGGACAAACAGTAACTTGAAATTTTGCTCATCTCCACATGCCTCATGACCATATGCAAATCAAAACCACAATGTTATCACCCCACCTGTGAGAGCAGCCTGTACCACGCAAGTACTGGAGAGGTTGTGGATAAAAAGGAATCCTGGGCCAGAGAGAGTACAGAAATGGAGTACTTCCCTTGCTATGGCTGCTTCAGATAATCATGGCTCAACCCGGGCACAGCATATAGTACCCAGAGCACTGCCAAAAGTCACTCCTGAGCTTCGAACCAGGAAGAGCTCAGAGCAATACTGGACATGGTCCCTGAAGGAACATCTGCACATTGCTGAAAATGTAATATTGGTCCAGTATATTTGGAAATTAGTTTGCAGGCTTCTCAAGATGTGAAAATAAACTTGCCACATAACCAAATAATTTCACTACTAGACATCTATCTCAAGAACACACAACTTGGGGCTGGAGCAATAGCACAGCAGGTAGGGCGTTTGCCTTGCACGCAGCCAACCCAGGTTCGATTCCCAGCATCCCTGATGGTCCACCAAGCACCGCCAGGAGTGATTCCTGAGTGCAGATCCAGGAGTAACCCCTGAGCATCGCCGCGTGTGACCCAAAAAGAAAAAAAATACACAACTTTGAAAGGCTATCTGTACATGTGGTGTGCATGTGTGTGTGTGTGTGTGTGTGTGTGCATGTGTGTTCACTGCAGCTCTATTTACAATGGCCAAGAAAAAAACATACATGTCCAGCAATGAATGACTGAATAAAGAAAATACGTAAGCACATTCATATGGGATGCATGAAGGGATGTAAGCACAATGGAAGGACTCCACTAAATGGAAAGATAAACTTGTGCCATTTGCTACAACATACAGGTGTTTGGAAGGTGTCACATTAAGCAAAGTAAGAGAAAGACAAATACTGGACGATCACATTCATATGTGGGACAGAAAGAAAATATTAAAGGAAACAGACAAAACCAACTTAAAGCCCTTGAATTTGGGTCACAGAACTAAGAATGCCAGAGCAGGAAGACACAGGGGCACAAAAGGTACAACAGATGGCAGTGGAGAGGCCTGGGAATCTCAGGGGTGGGCATGCTGTGAAAAATTACTTTTGAAGATGTTTGAAAAAGTGTTCTTCAAACATTACAAAGTTCAGCAGTGCTCTGGGAACTACAGGGTGCCAGAGATGAAATTTGGGCCTCCCACATGAAAAGCTGGC